TCTTCTTTCTTCTCCTTTTTTTACGTTTTCCCCCCCCCCCCCCCCCCCCGGTGCCTTGCGATGTTGCTTCCCAGACGGGCTGGAGTTGGCTATGGGTCGAACTGGGCATTGATGTACAAAGTTGAATGGAGTCGTCTGCATGGAGTATGATACTTTATCAGGCATGTATAGGCAACAAGCTCTTCAAGATAGGTAATGGCGAACTTGGTATGCAAACTTAATCATTTTTTGACTGAAATAATTGGGAATCGAATTCGTCGTTCTGGCTTGATATGCACATATAAAAGGCAAAATGACTGTTGAGTGTTTTCGGCCCGAATTCAAGAACAACCGTGGCCTTTAACAGGTTTTCCATTACAAATGCACATTATACTCCAGGCATTCACTTATACATTACTTGGCCATTGCTCTCAGCTTCCATCCGCACTGGCAGGCAACGAGCCGTCATGCTATTCCTAACAGTGTTGATACCAAACGGGTCTTTTATAATTTACAGCCTCTGCAAGATCCAATGCTCTGCGTCCACAATTTACACTCGAGCCAAATATGAATAACCTATTATGCTTTATACGGGTATGTAAGGCAAGAAAATTCAACTCTATATTGGATTATCCTGGCTGGTGCGGGTTGTCGCAAGTTGTGTCGATAAATTGGCCCGACTAATGCCGTGAGTAAGCAACTATTGAGCAGTTCGGTAAAATCACGACCAGCCTACTATATCCCCAAGATTGCAACATCGATTCATGAACATGCCATTCATGGACGCCGGGTGATTGAATGAGGATGCCCCGCGATTCATGTAGAGTAGAATATTATCGTCTTGGCTCTTTTCCCCAACGAATCAAGGTACTAAAACTCGTCGTATCTGCGTACTAGCTAATATTCTATATGTGATGGGTTTCTACGTTTTATTTTTTCTTGTTCCAACACTTCGCTAGCTTCAAGTCTCAGTATCGCAGAAGCATGGTCATTCCGAGAATTTGATAGACAGTGGGCACCACCGGCAGCTTGAGGCCCGGCAAAGTGAGAACTTATATTGCCACTACATCGAATAGGTGCTTTTCTCTTTTTTCTTATCAACTCAGGACGACTAGGAAGGCCTACTTTGTTGTGGAAATAGTCACTTGCTGATAGATGTCATCAATTATCTCATGCCTCTTAGGCACTATCTCGAGTTTTATACTGCTAAGTGGCCCCAGGCTCGGATGAAGCCCATGCTTTGCAATGGATGAACTGTCTTCTATCTCGCACGTGAACTAGACATTTATTTCGATGCATGTAGACCATGATTGGCATTGATCCTGAGAAACAACACATCGGCAGTGTACTGTTAGCATGGTAACGGGATGCCGCAGGGCCGTATATTGAGCCAGCTGTCATGCTCCTATCTCCATCATGTATGATAGCTTGCGGTGCTGATATTAGTAACGGAGCAAACTTTTTAAAGCCCTAAATCTATCTACTATGGTCAACGGGTTTCAGCGAGCTTCTTCGGTCGTGGCATCTTGTTAAGGTTCAACCTAAGTCACTATATTGAAGCTAGATTGCACTCATGATTGCGTACATTCAATTCCGTTTCGTAAGCACCAAGGCCATGGTTCAAGGACTATCGTCTTGAAGCTTATCTGTCTACGTAGATGCATAGAGCTCTTGCAACGGATGATATCCAAAGATTGTTGGCCGCGAATGTTTTCGAATCGCCCCCTAGTCTACAGTTGACAATCGGAGTATTTTTAGTTCCTGAGTCGCAAAAGAAAAGATGGACACGAAATGTTGAACACGAATGTAAAGAAGATTACAACGCACTGAATGAAAACTTCGGTAAGGAATCTTAGAAGATTTGAAGGAAGGCTTTTCCGTTTTTTTCTCCTCTCTCTCTTTATCTTTTGGTTCTCTAAAGTCGAAATTTGGACACGTTTCCCATGGTCGCATTAGTTTCGATTTCTGAAGAGTCAAGACCAGGAACAACGTAATAGCTACTCTGATTAGTGCTATGCAATGAACGATAGTGCCAAACACCGCTCAGAGTTTAAGCAAAGCAAACAAAGCCAGGTGCAGTAGTAAAAGTGACAACAAACATTTTAGAAGTAGTTGAGATGACACGAGGTCTTGGCACGAGGAAATCGAATTTGAGCATAGTATTCGGCGAATCGTCTCTTCTCTCACATGATTAGCTCGAAATGGGTTAAAAAATGTGAAACATGAATCAACGTATATGACGAGGAGGCTTGGATGGTCCCCAGAATTTAAAGTCAAGCGGAGCAACCTCCGCTGATTAGCTGAGCACTACTTATATGATCAATGCGTCTAGGAAGCAGAATTAGCTAATCCTGGTAGGATGTGTAGTTGACAACGAGGCTGTTTTTAAATGCCTTCACAGCTAACCGACAACTTGTTCAAGATGATTGGACTGATGTACCGAGCTGACGGCCCAGATATGATAGGAATTGCGCTTGGTCGAATTGCGCAATGATCATTGGCTAGCTCCTTGCTGAAAATGCTGGGCTATACCACAACGGCTGAGCATGGCGGCCGATCTCTCCGTAAGCCATGAGCCAGATTCTCCTCTTCTTAGCCCCCTTTTAGAGCGAGATAACAGACCGTCAGGAGCTTGCCATGCATTGCACAGACGAAACTGTTGTGAAAAGCTCTTGGCGGTACCAACTCTTAACGATCCGGGTCAGGGGCAACTCCATGAGGCGCATGGCTTCGGCAGATGGAATGCGAGACAAGAAGCCGGGCTAGAAGGTCAGCGGCTTCGCGAACCAGTAGCTAAGACCATGTACTGTATACTTTGAGGTCAAAGTGAGACACTGAAAAATATTCAATGACAAGCAAGGAGGCATAAGCAATCAAGAGGTCTCGTAGTAGGGGATATCGACTGAGAAGAGAAGAGAGGAGGAGGCAAAGATCATGGAGCGGTCCGGATTTGATTCTACAACACATCATGGATGAGCTGACACTTTACCTAGGTAGTAGCTGAACCACTGACTGCCGTAGAAGCAAGTGGATCGTGCAATTGGCGAGCTGAAAGGCCTCACCTGATACGTACATGGGAACTCGGCACTAGAAGACAACTGAGCTAGGAAGGCGAGATCCAAAGTCGTAGCCGTTTCCGCAGTCCGGATCGGACCCGAAAATGCAGCTACGGGGGATTGGCCATGTCGGATCTCTACTGTCCAGGTTGGGAAAGATATATTGCCAATCTTTAGTCATATTCGCCAGTCTAGGCCGCGCAAGGTATCCGATTACGGAAAAGCACCTGCAGCACGACCTGAGCCTCAATCAGCTCGTCTCGGCTCTAGGCTCATTCATCATCAGATTGTGTACGGTGTACGCGCCAGCAGATGTGATTGATACGCAGCCATGTGGATGCGATATCTGGCGAGCATGCCCAACTTGGGTGAATACTGCCAAAATGAGTAGTAAATGGGCTGCTGAGTTGTCCCGGCGATTCCCAAATGAGCATCAAGGGCCATATCAGTCTCCGAAAACGTCGCAATGGATGGATATTCGTCATACTTACAGACAAGGAGCACAGCGCCTATCTACCAGCAGCCAGCTTATTGCATGGGAAAAACGGCCGAGTCGGTGAATTCTCAGCAACCAGAGTGGCCAGAAATGCAAATGTTTTCGATACATGATGGGCCAGTTGGACTCCATTGAAACATGGTTGAGACGGACCACCACCCAAGAAAATTCGCTATCTGGTGCATCCTGGACATCCCTGGACGCGCAGTAAGACGCTATTTCTGGGCTATCTTCGTCGCTTCTGCCCACTTGCAGTTGGGAGCGCAGGGGGCGCGCCCATGGACGCCATGCCACTCTTGGCCTAATTTACGGTTCAACGCCCGATAAACGTCCTACCGTCTCCTCGGTTCCCGTCAGCAGAGGGGAAAGAAACATCCCAGCTAGGCATCATCTCAAGGTCATTATTGGTGTGTTTTCTTCGGAGTACATGGCGAAATCTCACCTCCATCCTACCTTGATGATGCCCTACATCATCGGAGCAATGGGTCAAAGCAAACGACGGACTCCTTCTTGGATGAGCTACATGAATCCCCCTGACCATCTAACCATGAGATGGTTTGAGATTAGCCCTGATTACGCCCATGAGATAGATGATCGCTCTTGAGCTTAATCACCAGGACTTATTAGGTTCAATGTTGTTGTTGTGGGCGAGATAGAAATCTGACAGCTCGTGTACCCTGGCGATCATTGATGCTGGCGAGGCCCGCGCTTGGTACTATGTAAGTGCTAATGTAGCCTTAGCTCTTGTCACAGGGATGCTGCTGCAAGCTTGTCCTGCCCATGCCTGCATCCTGCCGTTCCTGGTAAGCTGAGACAACCTACATATACGGGATCCGTCTTTATCAATACATCAAATGCCACTTCAAATCAAGTCTTCGGTGTTTGTTCCTGGAGCTCCTCATCTTACTTTCTCCTCTTGCTTTCGACTTGATCTGCACAAAAGATTCAGCTTGCCCAAGCAGAACTGCTACTGCCATTGCAAAGCAAACAATTGCTTCTTCAATCAACCACTGCATCGTCACACATCAGAACAGCTTATTCTCAACGCCAAGTGCACTCTTCCGATCCCACCAGGAACAAAAGCCAGTCCATAAGCTGCACTGCTGCTGATTGGCCTAACTGCCAGGCACAGCGCCTGGTGCTAGACAACAGCCCACCCTCAGAACCCAACATACGTTGCAACACACACGCGGCTCAAACATCTTCGACCATGTCTGTGCTCAATCTTATGAAGAAGGGCCATCAGCAGGCCAAGCAGCACGCTGCCGAGGAATCAGAAAAATCCAAACAAGAAGTGGTGAAAGCACCTTACAAGCACGTCCCGACACATGCAGCAATAGATGCGCTCTCAGGAGCGAACTGGCAAGAAGATTACCGTCAAAGAATAAAGGAGCAAAACCAGAAGAGGCAGTCAATGCTGCTAGCATTGCCAGAGCCAAAGAGAGGCACCATGCCTCGCGTATCTAGTTCACTATCCACTGTCTCCTATCCAACAGACAGGCCAAGCCCGTTTCGGGTCAACAGCTCCCAATCTACGCGAACAGTAGACTGGAAAGGCAAAGGGCGCGACATCCCGCCCCATAATTTGGCTGTGCCATCAGTCCATCGCATCCGGAGCGGCGACAGTCCAAAGAAAGGTGTGTTGATCTTGGCCACTTTCTAGGCACATTCGCTAACTGAACCTCAAGTGACATATCGAAGTGGTGGATCCGATAACTCAAGCTCATCGGAAGACGAACTTGAAGTGCACCATGTTCGCACAACCTCTCTCAACGCCGGTACACCCGGAGGTTCACGAAGCGGATACACGCCGCCACGTAATCACTACTTCACGGCGCCTCGCCCTATGGACAACAAGGTATTGAGCACACAGGCTGCTCTACCATCATTCCCGGCGCCTCCGGGTACCATGGAGTCGACGACAAGCTCACCAGCCATGTCAAACTATGTTTCCTATGCCTCGTCTGCCAGATCTGCGGCGTCTTCTTTTACAGCGCCCAGCTCAAAGGCTTCAACGCCTGCTGCCAGCATCAATGACGAGACCAAGCGGCCTTCATCGGCGCTCGAGATCAGAGCTACGCCAAAGAAGGCCAAGAAGAATCGATGGTCCTTCATGCTCAGCAGACGATCGACCGCGGTAGCTGTGTAGGCTCAAAACTGGCGGCCTTTCACGTTATTGGTTTATTGTTGCTTCATGCACATGTTTCGCCTTTTCCATATTGGCCACAGCGGATCGGCAGCCGCCGCAGACCTTACGACTTGTGTGATGCACGGGAGATTTGCTTCAAAATAATGAGGAGTTTTTAGCGAGGCGCCAATACTTTTTTTTTCTTCTTCAGGAGGACAAATATAGACAAGTGGTTTTTCTTTCCCTTGTATTTGATCTAGAAGTTCCGTAGAATATTTGCTGCATTCGACATGCACCAGGTTCCACCAATGACAGAACAAGCAATATTGATTAATAGTGCACTGCATCAAATGTGCCGCTAGAACCGAGAACACGCAAAAGTGTCTTGTGATGCATCACGATGCATCACCTTGATATTAATTTGATGTGACAACAAGCCTTTCTACCACTACATCCTGCACACAAGAATTGAATTGACACTTTTGCAATTTTGCAATGACCTAATTTAGATCTTTTCACATGTTCTGCCAGGTACATACTCAACTCTAAACATGACATATGGCAGCTGAAACCCCAGAGATCTTCAAGTCTAGGCGCGCCCATTGGCACCTCAGCCGCACGCCCCATCGGATTCTCGGTGGCTTCTGCTGAGTTGGGCAAAAGGCCGCCCACTTCACTTGCACCGGAAACTCGTAGATCCGCCCCCCCAATCAGCTCACCACTCAACAGTGCATACCCAAGCATAGAGACCCTGAAGTACAGAGCGTGGGGGGTTGGTGTTTCTTGCCTTCTCACTTCGCTTGCCAACGATATATTCAATACTGAAGCTGCCAGACAGGTACTGTACAATCTCGGCACCGAGTTACTTTTCATTGGCTGCATTCCCTATCACCATGAGGCATCCGACACTATTGATGCACGACGCTGTGTTTTCCCCTTTGCGCAGTAAACATCGCGTAAACTGGACTCAGGACCCTGCTCTTCCAAAACCTTTTTTCTGTCCGAACGATGCCATTAAAAAAAGAATAGAGTTTCTTGACACGTTTTTTCCTTGTATTCCTTCCCGAGCTGCATGATGCAAATATCACACCATGATAACGGGCAGGCCACCAACCCGCAAAGCACGACGTCCATCAATCTAATCTCTTCATACCTACCCATCCGCTTCCATCAGTTTTACGAATACGTCGTTTCACTGCAGAATCTTGGACTACAGTGTTATCTTGGACATCCGCCACAATCGATTAAGCTGCAGTGTCGCCGAAACTATGAAATGCAAGATTACCACAAAGATCAGCAATTATTGCGTTGCTGTTTGATTGGACTCGACGGATTTGGACCTTATGATTCATGACCATGAGCCCTGCTTGAGCCTCTTTCAGAAGAGGTGAATCATAAGCGACAATAACATGGCTGACCATGAAATGATTGCAGACACGTGAACCATGTCGAACGGGCCCTAATATTTGCATATAGGCTTGAAAGGCCACAGAGTATCGAGGACAACGTAGGCAAGGCTCTCTCTGGAGGAACAGCAAGGCCACATTATCTATCATGATGACGCCTCCATGCGAAGACCAGAACGCCTCGACGCCCTTTTCAGATAAGAGAACTTCCGACGTGCATACAAGGTATACCAAGTGAAGACTGCTTCTCCGCCATCACTTCTCCAACCTTGCATGCCGACATCTCGTGCCCGTCTGATATCTCTCTCACACAAGCACCACAAGCTCCTCATCGCGCCCCTGCCCCTCCTCCCGGACCCTGCGCGCCGAGCCCTTTCTGGCCGTGACCTCGATCTCAATCTTCATGGCCTCGTCGAGCAAGCCCGCGACCATCATGGTGGCCGCGGGTCGCGCGCCGTCGTCCTCGCCGCCGCCGCCGCCCAACCACTTGCGCAGCACGGGCCAGCACGGGGCAAAGTCGTCGCGGACCGGCAAGATGTAACGGACGCGGACAATGTCGCGCACGCTGGCGCCCGCCGCGGACAGGGCCTTTTCAATGTTGCGGAATGTCTGCTCTGTCTGCTCTACCACGTCGGGCGAGATGGTGCCGGTTTCGTAGTCGTACCTGTATTCTTTCCTTGTCAGTGTTATAAGCGCTGCGTGTGGTATGGCAATGGAAAGATGCCTTGTTCTGGGGCGATTCAAGATGCAGGACGGAACGGACCCTGTGCAACCAGATACGAACACCCATTCACCAGTGACTACGGCGCGGGAGTATCCAATCTGTTCCTCAAAGGAGGAGCCGGAACTTATCAATTGGCGGGCCATGGTGACAGCAAGTGCATGTAATGATCAGATGTTGTATTTGAATCAAGTCCAAGATTAAAATACACGAGTTTCGATATTGGGAGGAACAGAAAATGTAAAATAAACACGCGATATATTGAAAGCTAGGCGAGTGACTCGGTTCCGTATACTCGGCATCATCTGGGTGAGTCACAAGCGTTGGGCGGGCCTGTACACCAGCTGACGACGGAACGGCAAGTCTGAAGTGTGACACCAAACGGAGTGTTTCCGTCCATATCCTCAACACTCGACTATGCGTTCCTTGTGCAGGCTGATATTTAGGCAAAGGACCATTATCAATGCTAGAAATGGAACATTAGCAAATAGTGTAATTTGGGCCAAAGCGACAGCCTGGGAATTGGAATTTTCTTGAACCACTCTATTCAATACAGCCGAGAACTCTTCTCCAGGCTGCCGTGATTCGTCGTGTCTCTACTTGTTCCTATAGTATACACGTCCGGGACAGCCGTCAGCAGGCTTGGCAGCTCCAAGAAGCAGCTGGTATACACGATGTCCCTCGACGCGGTCTGGGACTTGCGTGCCAGCCCGAATCGCCTTGCCGTATTCCGTATTCTCACTAAGTTCCTCAGCCGTGCTCTCTGGTACCGGGTGTCGTATGTCGGCTTGCTCTCCAGGGTACTCCAAGACGAAATCAAACTCGCGCGCCGTGAGGGCAAGGATGATTTTGCCCTCGAGCATGGCCAATTCCTGCCCGATACAATTCCGCGGTCCCTTTTCAAAGGGTCGAAAGGCATCCTTGCCGGTTTCCGTGAAGAGTTCTGCGTCGGGAAATGGTGTCTGGCTGGGAATGAAGCGCTCAGGGATAAACTCGGTTGGACGGGGAAAGAAACGCTTGTTGCGATGAATCAAGTGGGCGGTCGGCCATATGAGACAGTTGTCGTCGACAATCATGGGGACCTTTTGCTGCGTTGCGGGGTCCACGACGTAAGCGCCCGGCACAGGAGCACGCACTGTACTTGCTGGTGGAAATATGCGCAAGGTCTCTTTGAGAACTGCAATGGTGTATTCGAGCTTATTCACGATATAAGGGTCCTCCTTGATCTTGGCAGCCGTCTCAGCAAGACCGCTGGGCAGATACGTGTCCAATTCCTTTTTGACTTTGGCGTAAACTTCGGGGTGTTTGTGTAGCAAATAATTCGCCCAGCAGAGTGTTGAGGAGGTAGTATCGTGTCCAGCAAAGATGAACGTCTTGACCGAGTCGCTAATGTCAAACCGCAAGCTGTCTGGCATGTCTTTTGGTTCCAAGAGTCTGAAATCGATATTTCGTGCTGCCGAGATCTCATTTTCATAAGCATCCATGGCAAGATCGACGACGGAGCGTTTCTTGGCAGCTGATTTCCCGCTGCTCTCCGCCTCCATCAAGTCCTTTGCACGTCGCTCAATCTTGAGGTCGAGCTCCCTGCTTATGGCACGGTCTAGCTTTCCACCATTGCGCCAGAGCTTATAAGGCCGTAGCAGGTCGACGGCTTGCCACGGGAAGACGGCGTCTGATGGAGGCATGTCCTTGGATCTCTCGCGGAATAGAGTGGTGATTGGGTGCCTCCGAGTCTGGGCGTGCAAATCGGCATCGAGAACCACCTTTCCGATGATTTCAATAGTCAGCCCCGTGAGAAGATCCTCCAGCTCAAAGAGCTCACCCGAGGCGGCTTTGCTTTTGATAATGTCGCAAAAAGTCAAGCTGGCATCTACAATGACGTCGGACAGGCTCATGATATTGGTCAAGGAGAAGCCGGGATTGAAGATGCTGCGGAGATTTTTCCATTGATCGCCCTCGAGTGAAACCATGTTGTTTTTGCCCAAGAACCTATTAAGATATCCCACGAGGGCGTTACTCTTTGGCAGAGACGTACCAGTGGTTATGTATTTGGAGGCTGCCACCGGGTCGGCAATGTACATTGTCAAGGGCCCGAATGGTCGACTAGCAGCAACAAAATCAGCATTGATACCTATCCATACTTTAAAGAGTACTCCTGCTTTGCAGCTCTGGAGGGTGAAACGTACAGGTCAAGGTAAAAGACTTCTGGCAAGTTCCATTTCACACGTAAGTAATCACCCCAGACTTGGGCATGTATTTTATTCGGGAAGATTTTTGTGAGTTCGCCGGCAATGTGAAGGTGGCCGACCAGTTTGTTCAGCATTGGCGGTTGTGGCTGCGAGGGCGAGGCGCATCAGCATACTGGCGTGCATGACACGCTGCAACTCTGAGCCTGCAGGTGGAGGGGTGATACTCACCAAGCCGTCCAACTGCTTTCTCTTCTTGATAAGATCATCAACATAGTAGGCGACAGCAGCCAGAAGCAAAGCCACAACAGCGACTATAGCGCGCAACATGGCGAACAGAACAGGTGAGGTTGTTGGGAGGAACAAGACCAGAGTCGGGACTGCACAGGACAATTGTCAAACCACGCAGGAGACGCCCAGAGCGTCAATTTATTTCATGCCCCAAAAAATTAGCGCCAACAATCACCACGGAGCGACTCCCTTGATTCGCAAAGGAACAGTACCTAGTCTTGATTGTACAGGGGAAGCTATATCTAGAAGACTTGGAGAGAATGTCTAAATGAAAGACTATTCCATATTGAGATGCGTTATGGCTCAAGTGCTTACAACCGTTGGGTTTCTTGATGACATGGCCATGAATTATCTTTCGTTTCCTTGGTGGGCCCGCAAGGGTCCAGCTTCAGCTTGCCCCCGGACTAGGCCCGTATGCTGCACTATCTACACCGCATGGACTCCCTGAGCGACGCGATCCGTCCCCGCCAGCTGGTAACCAAGCCATTGTTCCGATTCGCCAGGGTTAACTGCGTCGCTGAGAATAGGTAGATCCTCCTCACCACCCATGCACGTAGGTAATCATACTGAAGCCATTTTGAAGTGCTCGTCGTGATTTTCGTCGTTATCTGGGACTGTTGACTCAAATCTGTGAGTAGTTCATTACTTTTCGGTTCACGGGTATCTGACCGTGAGTGCCCATGCAACGCCGCCTTGGCAAAAGTTCGTTTAATACCCCTTGCGCAGCGCTCATGCCCTTAAGGTAGAGAGACAAAAAGAGGAAGACACAAGAGTTTATGAAATGACCAGATTAAGGCAGTCTCACTTTATACTTGGGTCATCTCCCCTGCCTCTGGCCAAACTAGCTTGATGGCTCCGCCCTTGACTTTCGCCGCAAACCCTTCATATATCTCGATACGATCTTGCGTCACTGTTGAGCCTGCAAGAATATCCTCCTGCACCATTTGAAAGGCAACCTCATGCAAATCAAACATGGACATGGTCTTGGCGATACATTGCCTTCCTCCTAGTCCAAAGGTCATATTACACCTGTGCATCTCTTCAGTCGCATTGGCCCAGCGCTCAGGTTTGAATGAGTGCGCCTCTGGGTACACATCCTCCAAAAAGTGCATCTCCATCATGGATACGGAAACAACAGTACCAGCGGGGTAGAATATGCCGTTATGCTGCCAACCACCAGCGGGGACTTCGCGCGGCAGGCGGCAGGGATTGGTCAGACTCAGGCGCAGCGTTTCCCGTATCACGCCGTTGAGGACGGGGAGCTGCTGAAGGTCTTCGCTCTTGGTGATGGTGGCAGACACGACTTCGGCGCGCAGCTTATTGTAAACATCTGGGTGCTTGGCAAGCATGAAGCACAAGGTGCCCAAGTTCATGCCAATCGTGTCGGTGGCCGCAAAGATGATGTCCTTGCACTGGGCGTGCACCTCGGACGGCGAGAATCCGGCGAGCAGAAGGCGGCCCGGGTAGCTGTTTGATGAAGAAACATCTTTTGTCTGCTTGATGTTTGCCTGGGCAAAGGCAATAATCCGGTCTAGGTATTCATCGACCACCTCGGCGCTGATTTTGATTGACGGATTGGGCAATACCAGGCCCTCAATTGTTTCAGCAAGCTGATACAACCAAGGTGCGAAATACCAGAAGCGGGCTGTCGAAATAAAGGCATCCACCAGTGCGCTGGCCGACAGTCTGGGCGCAGGCGCTTTCCCTGCGGGCTGGACTTTCAATTCGCTCGGATCATTTTGCGAGGACCCATAACGAATGTCAAAGAGATACTCGGTCACGGCCTCGATAGACATTTGACGTGCGCAATCCAGGACGTTGGCACTTCCAGATGCCTTTCTCGCCTTTAGATCGACCAGAAACCGATGAAACCCATCAGTAAAAGGTTTTGAGTTCTGCCGAATGCTTGCAGCGCTGAATAGCGGGAGCACCACCTTGGCCCGCGCCGCTCTGGCCCCGGCATCAGTGTGACTGAATATAGATGCGTGGCCGTCAATGTCGAAGTTTTGGTAGTACTTGGCTTTCGCGAATCCACCCTTTTGCACGTAGATGGGATGAATCACACCAGCATCAACGAAATCGACAGACTCGGTTCCGATGCGCACAGTCGGGCCATACTTGACGTGCAGCGAATGCACGTACTGGCCCTCGTCGCCCATATACGCATGCCATTGCAGCTGGAGGTCCGTGATCCGGGCAATCCACGGGCCAGGAACGCTGGAGAGGGGATGAAGGCTGCTCAGTCGATAGACAATCTTGCCAAGTGTATAGAGAACAAGAGTGGCGGCAAATATTATGATCATTTGAGCCCCCATGGGCAATGAGATGTCTGCGAGTACTTGCTGAAGAGCCATTATGAGATGATTTGCTCTCTCACAGACATTTCCGTGCGAATGTCATCATAATTATGTCTCGATGTTGTTGCTGTAGTTCTTCAAACCTAGATGGTTACTTCGATGGAGGAGGGCTAGTCGGCCGATAGCGTGTTGCGTCGTTGATCGGCCGATGTAAGCTGCATGATGCACTTGCGTCGCTTATTGCGACCCTACCTTGCCTGCTACTGGTGCGGAGACTTTCACCCAAGGTTGGCTTGCAATCAAACGCGACTTTGCTGTGCGGTGTGATCGGCCGCTCGTCCGTATCTTATTACTAAGAAGCACATATCTTTGGTTTCGGCACTCTAGGCGAATATGTGAGGTTTTTCCAACAGAACAGTCCTTACGCTGGCCTTGACTCCGAAGGCATGCATCGTATCCAAAATGAGACTGCATTAACTCTTTCCCAGTCGATTCTAACACATGTAATTAAGTCATTCGCAAAGTTAAGGTGTCTCAGTATGGGCGAGACTGTGCAAGGAAAATAGTAGTCTGATGTGTGACCAAAGAGTACGATATATTCATGCTAAACAACTTTTCAAACCAGATGGTCGCCAAACTCTCCATCTATGTAGTCAACGGCAATAACACGACTTAAAACTGCATCACTCCACTGTACAAATTCAAGATGAACAGGATCTTTCAGAGCATAATAGTCGCGGTCCTCTCTGCTCTCGAAGTTGAGAACAAATACATGAGTCAGGCCATTCTATGTTTTGTCAGATGAAAAGATTTCCAATATTGTATTCTAATGTTTGGAACACCAAAATGATTTGACATACCTGTAGACCTTGGACCGAGTTGTCACGGCCTCCAGTGACCGACAAAATGTAAGGTTGGCCAGTCTGAGGGTGGCGACAAGTCTCCTTTAATGCGAGCATTCTATCTACCAGCTCCTATAGCTTGTCAGGGTCCAAAAAAACATCAATTTGGAGGATACAGTTTCTCTCTACCATGACATGTGGTAAGGGTGGATTTGAAATTGCGTGATGCTCACCTTGACCAGTGTGGGAGTAGATCCCGGTTTGAACTGGAACGAGACAACATGCGTGACAGTCATTTTGTGTGTGTTAGTTGACGGCGAATTTTTTTTATTGAGGCTCACGTTAGTATTCATTTCTTTCGCTCTCGCTTTCGGAGATGTTCAATATATTCCATTGGAACAGATGGACACATCGGCCATCTTCGGCCAAGACTTGCTGGGTCCTCGCCCATTCTTTGATGGCCGAGAATGGCCGACAAACTACGTGCCTGCCCACAGCATGAACATCGAAACTGCGCCCAAGAAGAATGTATTCAGCCCTGGCCATTGGATCCTTGCCATTGTCATATAGTCATAGCCAATCTCAAACTAGTGCATTTTGCTCTGGATTGTAAGATTTTGCAATACAGTCTAAACAATCGACGAGCCATGTTTGATCAGTTGCTAAGGGACGCGGTGAGCACCGGTTTGATTCCGGGTGCTATTTTGTACGCGCAAAGCGCAGATGGTCAGTCTTGCCCGGAGAGAAAAAGAAATGACCTCCTCATGCGTGCATGATACTGAACAATTTACTGGATAGGCGCCCTGGACTGGTCACAAGCCATTAGCGGGTCTAGTGCGCAATACGTCAAGGAAGCGAAACTGGAGATTGCATCGCTTACAAAGTTGATCACTATTATCGCGACGCTTCAGCTAGTGGAAAAGGAGGTTCTGAAGCTTGACCAAAATGTCGAGGATCTCATCCCAACCTTTGCACGAATAGAGGTTCTTGATGGTTTTGATGCCAATGGATCGCCACTCCTGCACAAGCGCAGAAACTCCATAACGGTGAATAAGCTTCTTACACACACATCTGGGGCCGCCTATCCCGTCGTGGACGCCCGGCTCAATGACTACAAGCGATGCAAAGGTCAAGATACGAGCGGCTCGGGTACCGTGGACGACAGCTTCGGTTTACCGCTTTCATTCGAGCCCGGCGAGGGCTGGTCATACGGGCCGGGCATCGATCGCATGGGACAAGTCATTGAGAAAGTCACTGGGTTGACTTTGGAACAGTACTTCCAGCAACACATATTTTCGCCGCTCGGGATGGCCACTGCGAGTTTCTGGGCCCGGCCTGATGTGCCCATGGCTGCATATTCTCCAGTGGATGGGCAGCTCTCACATGACCATGGGAGGCCCACGTTTACTACAGGTCTCACGGAGTGTCATGGTGGTCAGGGCTTGGTCATGAGTATCCCTGACTTTGCAAAAGTCCTGCGCTCACTTTTGATGGATGATGGAGTCTTGCTCAAGCCCGAGACTGCTGCCCTGATGTTTGAGCCGCACTTGTCGTTGGGCCCCAGAACAATGCTGTTGGACAAGATCCAAGCCGCAGAATGGACAGTCGGTGACATTCCTTCCACCGGAGAGTATAGTTGGAGTCTAGGGGGCTTATTGATTGATGGCGACTCACATGCATTCCGGCGACGAAATACGCTCACCTGGAGCGGCGCAGTAAATCTATTTTGGGTATGTCAGTCTTTCTTCTCGTCCATTGCATAGTGTGCAACAGAATGAACAAGTCCATCCCAGAATTGCCCAGAGTACTGATTTTTTAATATTTGTTCAAGTTCATCGATCGAGCGGCAGGAGTCTATGGTGTATTGGGGCTGCAGATAATGCCGCCGTCCGACCCAAAGGTTCAGTATCTCATCAAAGCGTTCGAGGAAGAAGTGTACCGTAAGGCTGGCAGACTAGTGAAGTTTTAAATGAGAAAATAATTACGATTATGATCATTATCATCAATTTTTTGGGGGCATTTTTAAGACCTATCAATAAGGTGACTTTAGCTATTTCCTGCACAATTTGAGGGTTTTCAACGATTTGCCCGCAAGGCCAATGCATAATTTTTTCTTCAAATGCGACGCAGATTGCATGGCATATTCGTAAGAATGTTTCGCAGCATTTAGAGCTATTCAGATGAGATTGAAGGCACGCAACTTCTTTGAAACTAGTAGATACAGATTATTTTCATTTCTATTTGTGTCGCCCTAATTTCTAGCTTCAATGTCATGTCCACTTCCCAACTACGCTCACAGCTCAGCATGGCGAGCCGCAAGCCAATCCCTTGCAATGTCTTCGTGTTTGCAAAACTCAACGGCATCACCCCATGACTGCAGCCAGGTGATGATCCGTTCGGCCATGCCCATGATATGGGCCATGCCACTCGTATCTGGGTGCATGAGGATGGGAAAGATAAAGTCGGCCGTGTCAAAACTCTTTTCGGTAGTAGCTGCATTCTCCCAAAGCCACATGAATTTGTCTTTCCACATTTGCTCAACCACGCGGGTGGACACATATCCCATGCTATTGGGTAGATGCGGCAAGTATTGTAGTGGCATCATATCTTCATTGTACCAGCCACATGGTATCTCTACCAAAGGATGATCCCCGGATTTGAGTGGATTGAGTTCTGCTTGCGCGGTAATGGGAGTAGGCTGAAGCCACGAAGACGCGTCCTTGGAAAAGTCAATGGTCTGTATCGGCGGGTCCGCCGGCGTCCAGTACGGCTGGGAATCGTGATGCATGAGGGACGTGTCGTAGAGGAATCCATGTTCTCGCAGTAGCTTGACCGTGGTTTCGCGGATCGTGTACATTGGTGCTCGATATCCACGAGGCTTCTTGCCCACCAGCTTGGTGGCCACTTCGATACACTTGATGAGCACGTCGCGCTCCTGCTCGGGCGTCATCTGATAGATCCCTTCATGTGCATAGCCATGTAGACCAATTTCGGCACCGGATTCCGCTACCGTTTGCACGGACGTGGGGAAGGTTTCGATTGTATGGCCGGGAATGAACCATGTCACCTTGTCTGCAATGTTTTTCTTTTTGAGCATATTCAGCAAGCGGATCGCACCAACTTGCCCAGCAAAGATGCCCGAGCTGTAGTCGGCCATGTTGTTGTCAGGATGACAGCCGGTACCAAGCCAATGCGACACGGCATCAAAATCAAATGACAGACAGACCTTGACCTTTGGCCTTTGAAAGCTTGTGACCAAGGTCATAGGAATGTCTTGCGGCGCCTCGAGCAGGCCCTGCGCAGTAGAGCCATTGAGAATCTCGTAAGCGCAGTCGGCTGGCTGGCCGGCGTTTACGGGGGCCAAGTCTTGAGGGCAGGAGCTCATCACAAGCATGAGGTCAACCTGAGCCTCCAGAATGACGTACTGCCCCTTCTCGCTGGTTGGGGGGCGAATATCGAGACCGCCGTGATGATCAATGGCAACATTCATAAATAGATTGAGAGGGTCGGGCACCCAGTCGTCGGCTATCTGGAAAGCTGGGAAATTGTCGTGAATGGCCGCGTGCATATTATCCGTACAATTGTCATGGTACCCTTCGAATCCTTGCATTCGGTACCGCTCACTGTCGCAGGCAGACCAGATCATGTCATGGACGCCGCGCGTAGTGTCTTCGACTAATTTGAGCATGGGCTTCCGCCGCGTACTGTAAAGCAGATCACCCTTGCGAAGGGCGACGCTGAGCAACACAGTTCGAGTATGAACCATGGACAAATAGTCGTGGCCATCATGAGGGTTGAATGCCCAAAAGTCGACCACCTGCTTGCCAAAGGTATTGATGACCTTGATACTCTGGCCTGCTTTGATAGAGACCGCAACGGCCTTGCGGGCAGGTATAATGCTGGTGGATATGGTCTCGACTGAACCCATTTTGACAGGCGGGTCGAGTTCGTCAATGTCCGATTTGTCCACAATTGAGCAATTCCCGTTCTGTTCGTATCTTCTCTCGATCTTTTGTCATGCAGAATCGGTACTAACCATTCATTCAAACGCGGAGTGCTTTTAACTTCCATGGTGCTCTTGGATGAATGAATGCCCCGATCGCCTATAGGTCGAGTATGAACCATCACCCCGCCGATCCCAACGGCCGATCGGCCAAATCCGCAGCATGAACCATATCGGACAGGCCCTGTAATACTATAATAGTACGGAACCATGACCCTAGCTCCGCCTTTCCCCACTGAGCGGCCATCCTTATCATCGGCTTGTCATTCATAATAATCGGGGACGGCCGCCAGGCCAACAGACTTGCCCGGTCTCATGGATGTTTGCCAGATAGATGCTATCCGTCTTACAATAGAGAATACCAAGTTCTAGTGCTGTTCCCATCATGAGCGGCCGTGAAGCTGGATCCTCTTCAGCTCGACCGTACCGGTCAAAGCGCCATCGGCCATGCGACAGTTGTCGGCGTCGAAAACAAGCCTGTTGTCTTGAAGGTCAACCCCCTTGTCGCCTCTGCGTTGAGCTGCGCATCGCATGCACTTTCAATGATCCCCCTAGCAAGCGCCGGCGGACTGGTACACAGCAGCCGTCTCCGTTGACTTGCTCTTGTAAGTGTCATCCTACGTTGACCTTTTCATCAATGATATTTTGCAGCATGCACTCACATACCTGATAGTGGAATCCAATGACTCTGATATAGTTGAAGGTTTTGAGGCTACAGATTGCGACTTGGACGCTGCATCAGACGGTGGACATGGTAGCACCAATGATGCTCCTTGGGAATTCACCCATATGGCCACGTCTGGAGATGTCAGCAATGTCACTATAGACCTTGGCCCGGATCCCCAAGTGAGTGATACGCATGATGGAAATCTGGACGGCAGATTGATGCCAAGCCATGACATGTGGTATTTGGCCTCTCTTTGGGACGTGAACCAAAGTGGCTCGATGATGCACCCCACGGCTGCAGTGGGAGAAGTGGAAGCGAACGAGAATGAGATTGGTCTCCTGAATTTCTCAACAAGGTCTCCCGTCCTGCCAAGCCCCAGACAGAGTGCTACTCAGCCGGCTGGGAATACTTCAATTTCGGCCGAAACAGCTCTGTACTATACAACAAGCCACTCTTATCCGGCGCGCGTCCCAGTGCCACTACAGCAAGACAAGACAACCAATTATCTGAGCCCTTCCAGTGACCTCGACCCATATTTGCTTCAACACATGCGATTTCCGGCCGATGGTATTTCCAACTTCAAACACTTTCAGTATCGTGTTTTAGCTAGCAAGGCGACGACATCGTCGGCCCAGCAGCGATCCTCTGAGCATTCGCCAGCTTACTTCATAGTGAACAAGCGAACCACACTGGAGAACGGTGATGATATGAACGCGCCTAAACCAGATTCATCGTTGAATTTGGAGGATCTTGTAAACCCTCAAGTTGGATCTTGTCTAGTCGGATTGTCAGTACCCTTGCTCCTCTCCAGAAAAAGAGAATTATTCTTTTACCCCATCCTTTTGCTTTCACCAATAAAAGTCCCTTCGTACCAACCTTTGTCCTTCTTGAATTATTTTCATCGCTCATTTTTTTATTTGCTTGTTTCCTAGTCTCATCGATTACGAAATTTTTTAACATTTTCCTCGTAGCTATTCGAGATTATTCACTAATATAGTGTTTTCAGATTCTTACGCTACGTCTTTCCCGGTCTCCCCATTCTGTCACGTAGTCGATTGACGTTGAAGACAAAGACTCTTCTGCCTCGGCCTGAGACCTTGAAGATCCTGCCCTCTCACCTCCTAGCAGCCATCTACGCCTCGGCCGATCAATTCCGCCGTTACGATCCTTTCCTATGTGCTTCACCAGAAAGAAACACGGGTCTTGTTGATCATCTTTGGCGTATAGCCTATGACGGCATTCAGCAAAATTTGCACAAGCCCCAGCTAGACCTCCTGCAGACTATACTTTTATATCTGCAGCATACAGGCAGGCGAGACGAAGCGGCTGCAGCCAACAAGACGGCCGAATGGTCCCTCACGGGATCGGCCATAAATATCGCGTATCAACTAGGACTACACATTGACTGCACGGACTGGTCCATTCCTACTTGGGAGCAGCGGCTGCGACGGCGTCTCTGGTGGGTGACGTACTCGGAGGCCAGTTGGCGGACTTTATTGCAAGGTTTCCCGCAAACCATTTCTCCAGACCAATGGGATGTCCGACCATTGGACGAAAATGATTTTTTCATTGATAGTATCCGTATACCTTCAGAAGAATCATCTACGCGAGTACCAGCATTGCAAGAGCCCTGCCAATTTTGTCATCTCGGTTATGACTTCCGCTTCGTGGCTGATTTGAGTCATCACGCAAGCAATCTACACTGTCGCATGTACACCATGGCAGCTATCCGGAAATGCTCTGGTAACTTCAAAGAGACCCTGGGTATTGGGTCCTCTCTCTTGGCCGACCTGCAGAGATGGAAAAAGGACCTACCATCGCACATTACTACACATAGTCTATCCAACATACGAGAGAATCGCGACTATTTTCATCCAGGATCGGCCACCAATATCAAGATGGCCTATCTTACTATTGAGGTCTTGATATATCGCGCTATACTCCGGTCGCTACCATCAAAGTTGACTGCGAATGAAATAGATCCGCCCCCAGAACAACGCCATGACGGCGATACTCCAAATGGCCAAGCCCCCGGTTCCGTGTTGGAAACCTACCGTGCTGCTATCAATGTCATGCAACGCATCTCGGGCTTTGTGGAGCGACTCGGATCATATGACCGGAATAGTCTTTATTATGCTTGTAAGTAAACATCAGCGCCATTCAAAGAAACTGTTTATTTGCTGACCCGGCTACTGTAAACAAAGGGACCGAAGAATGTTTCAGCATCATGTCGAATTTCATTCTGTTTCTCCTCGTCAGGGCGCCGACGGCAGAAATCGCCAAGGATGTATTGGCATTATTGGCACGTTGGGTCATTCTATTACGCGAACAGTGTATCTTGTTTGACCAGACCCGTCTCGCGCTTACCCGGTTGGATACTGTCTTTCACATGGGCATGGAAAACGTCTTTCACTTTTCTCCTCATGTGAAGAAAGCGGTAGAAGATGAGTTCCCGATGCGGTTATACAAGAACTAGGAGATTTGGGAATTGATCACACGGAAAGAAGGAGATGTATTTCATTTATTGGAATGTGAAATCCCTTTCAAGAGCAAGCTCTGCTATGTGCTTGACTTTGCAGACGAGGCCTCTACCTTTTCAGAAGTTGTAACAACGCCGTGCTCCCCACCCTCTGTGTTGCTGCTATCGACACTATCAATAATATCGATAAAGTTTGGTATGGAATAGTTCTTCCTTCCACCACAGACCCAGGTAGCCAATGAAATTAGCATTATTACAGCGATAGCCGCCGAGGAATAATTCATGTTGTCAGCCGTGACGGGGCCTTCGCTTGGAAAGCTGAAACTGATGGACGCCACGATAAGAAATACGGCACCAAAAAGGTTGATGGGTAAGCTCCAGCGTCCGAGGCTATACTTTGGATGCCTCATCGGCTTTGCGTCACTTCCAATCTCGGACATGAGCCTGGCCACAAGCGGCATGGCGTACGAGATGTAGAACCCTTGCGTAGAAATGGATACAACCGTGTTGAAACCAGTGTAGCTGCCAATATATATGGTGTTCAACACTGCCTGTCCCACCATTGTCAATAGAATCGCAGGCACAGGTATTGCCAGCCTTGGATGCACGGCACTGAACGTCTTGGAAAAGGGCAAGGCGCGGTCGCGGGCAAAGGCATAGACGGATCGGGAGGTCTCGGCCATGAGGCTGTTTGCACAAAACAGCACAATGACTATAATCATGCTCGACAGCACGCAGGTACCTCCAATGGACTGCGTACAATTGTACAAGATTTGTATCAGCGGTACGCCGGTGGAAGAATTGGCCACCGAGTCAATATCACCAACACAAAAGAAGCTGGCGACGAGAAAGCATAATCCGGTCACGCTTCCCAAAAGTACCGCAGTAACCATGGCGATGGGGGCATCACGGGTAGGGTTGCGGAGCTCCTCGACCATGTGTGCCGGAGCTTCGTAGCAGCACATGCCGAACAAAGACTGCAAAAGTCCAGCAATAACGGCAAGAGCAGGATTGAGGCCTGTATCGTTCCGGTAAGAAGTGAAGACGAAAGATGGCGACTGGTACTCCTTGCAAGTTGCAACCATGGTTATGGTAACGGCGAAGAAGGACAAAATGTTCCAGAATAACAAGAACTTGGACAGGCCGTCGAGCAGGCGGGGCGCAAAGATGTTGTTGATGCCAAAGATTAGAATGATGAGATAACAGAGCAACGTGGTATGCCATCGCTCGATTACATAGTCGGGGTTGACCAGATTCGCCAGCCCGAGAATGAAGTTTGCGCCAATAAAGTTGTTGACGGCCCCAATGGCAATGAGGCCAATCAGCATGAACCAGCCCGTCACCCAGGACATGCCACGGGCGAACCGTTTTGGCGCGATCGCTGCGACCCACGAGTACTGGCCGCCGGCGACGGGGTACTGAGCGCAGCACTCGGCAAAGGACAGGGCGACGGCAAGGGCGCAGACGGACACGGCAATCCATGACCAGACCATGACCGGAGGGCCGCCTGCCTCGATGCCAACTGTCATGGTACCAGCGAGAGCAGTCCAGCACGTAACAATACTGAAGGAGAACCCGATGACGCCTATGAGAGAGAACGATCTGTGCAGCTCTGAGAATCATGACATGTTAGCGATTTGCCAAAGTCAAAGACGCTCGATACAATGATCTGGAAAATCGCCTGTTCACATACCCTGATCGTATCCCATGGCCTGCAATGCTGCATCTCCAGCGGCCATAGTGGATGTCCCGACTTGCTCCATTATGTTTACATTGACAATGGTTTGGACGAGTATCTAAAGCAACTCTTTGCAATGAGTTAGATTGAATATACGACCTTCAAAGCGTCTGAAGATGCAGATACAAAGAACAAGAGTCTAGGAAATCGAGGTACTATGGCAGATAATGCTTTATACTAGTATAAATCCATGATTGAGGTTTCTGCATCATGCGGAAAATCTGCATTACAAGATGAGGATGGATAGCAGCTATCTATTCTCGAGATGGGAGAAAGGCGTAGAGTCGGGCCAGGGTGATAGCGTCAAGGCCAGCATCCAATCCAATCTCTGTCGTTATCTTTAGCGGGACTTCTATACCAATGTAATATGCCGTGCATAGTTGGAGTATTGAGCGTCTTTGGATAGACCATTGATAAGTGATAAGGCGCATTGCCGATACTATCGGCCGGGGCTCGTTATGATACCGGCTAATAGTGGCTACAGCTAACGCCCGATCATGGCCGACATTTGCCTGCGAGCGATGCGACCTGTGACAACAATACGCATTTGAATTGCCGGGAGTCAGGTATGCAAAGAACCACGGGCAGGGCATGGGTGCATATGAAGGTTCAAAGATTTGTTGACTCGATAGTTTGAGATCCCACTAGTGGAGAGATCAGAATCGCACTTTGTCATTTGTTGTTTGCAAACTACAGCACAAACTAGGCGCCCATTTATCAATTTTCCCTGCCGCCTTTCAATACTATGGCGGAGGTTGACTCGGGCGGATCCACAGCTAAATGCTGCAATCATGTTGAAGATGGAGTGACGGATCAACCTGTCGATCAAGGACGCCCTTTGCGCGTAATCATTATCGGCGCTGGGATCTCTGGTATCGCACTTTATATTCGACTTTTGCAGAATATTCCCAGCGCCAAGATTACCATTTTCGAGAAGAATCCAGCCGCTGGCGGCACCTGGTACGAGAATAGGTACCCTGGAGTGGCATGCGACATCCCCAGCCATGTCTATCAGCTATCTTTTGCCCCCAATCCACAGTGGTCCAAACTCTTTTCTCCTGGTGGTGAGATCCTCGAATACGTGCAACGAGTTGCTGGCGACTATGGTGTCGACAAAAAGATCAAGTATAACACCAAAGTGGTTGGCGCCACTTGGAACGAAGATGACGCCGTATGGTCGGTGGAGACCGAGCATACCTCCCAAGACAGTAGCAAGTCGCTTGCCCAGAACCAAGCTGAGATCGTTATCAGTGCTGTTGGACTACTGAATAATTGGAAGTGGCCTGACATTGAAGGCCTTCACGAATTCGAAGGCAAGCTTCTGCACTCGGCCAATTGGGACACATCGTGGTAAGTTATGCTACTCCTTAACAAAATTATTTCTTTTAATCCATAAATTTAGGGATTACGGTGACAAAACTGTAGCTTTATTGGGTTGCGGATCGTCTGCCATACAAATACTTCCCCATCTTCAGAAGAAGAGTTCTCAAGTTTTCAATTTTGTCCGGGGAGGAACGTGGATCAGCCAGCCTTTTGGCTCAACGCTCACCGAGAATGTCTTGGCTGGCAGCTCCGAGCCCGGGAATTACTCGTACACGGCTGAGGAACTCGCCAGATTTCAGAACGATCCTGAGTATTACCAAGAGTTCCGAGAGAAAATGGAGAGTTTTATCAACAAGGACTTTCCCTGCCTGTTTGCTGGAACCGATGAAGAAAAGTCTGGAACGGCCAAGATTATAGAAATCATGCGCCAGAAGTTGCAGTCCAGGCCTGGAATGTACGAAGCCCTGGAGCCCCGGTTTACTCCAGGCTGTCGTCGGCTTACGCCTGGCCCCGGATATCTCGACGCCTTGGTTGAGCCAAACGTGGAGCTAATCAAGGCCCCAATAGCGCGAGTGACCAAGAACTCAGTGGTGACAGCGGACGGGAGGGAGTGGCCCGTGGATGCCATTGCTTGTGCAACGGGGTTTGATAGCAGTCACGTACCACGTTTTCCTATTGTCGGGCGTGGCGGCGCATCCCTCGTTGAAAAATGGAAAACCCGCGCCTCGGCGTACTTGTCACATTCGGTGCCGGGATTCCCAAACTATTTCATCATGGGTGGCCCGAATTCTGCTACTGGTGGTGGCTCCCTGCTCCTCATTCTAGAGTCGGTCATGGGCTATATTATCAAGGCCGTGCAAAAGATTCATCGTGAGCACATTCGAACCATGGAAATCAAGGAAACTGCTGCACAAAAGTGGACAGCTCATCTGGATAGATACTTTCCAGGGACTGTTCACATGGAGGAGTGTACAAGCTGGTACAAGGTCAATGGTAAAATCATTGGTCTCTGGCCAGGGAGCAGTCTTCACGCCATGAAGACTCTGGCCAACCCGCGGTGGGAAGATTATGAGTACCAGTCTGAGCACGACAATGAATTGCAATGGATCGGGAATGGCTGGACTGTTGCAGATGTTGAGAGGGGCGACCTGGGCTACTATATCAATCACGTCGATATTCCGCCAATTCCTGGCCACGACGTCCTCGCTAGACAACCATAGATTATTGGATTATTGCTTCAATGAGATATCACCCTGGCCCGGGCCCATACATTGCTCGATTTTTTTACATGGCATGGAAATGATGTAGAAGACTCAACTTTGAAGCTGTTCTCATCCTCGACTCGTCGTCCAAGTCACCCAGTGAAATACGGATACCTCGAAACTCATGCCCGTAGAATTATCTCTAGCAAAAGTCCAGCACACCAGTCACGATATTATTCATTTTGCCGACAATTCTAAATTGCTCGTGTTTGCTCTCATCAAAGACCATCAGCAGATAAAACGACTCTCCAATACACAATCATTGAAGGTATATGACACTAAAACAGTATCAGCATAACATGCCAAAAAAAAAAATCTAGATTCCATCGCAAGGGTTCCTGCCTGGTGCACATTCACAGGAATAAACCATATCATTTTCTCCAATTTGCTTATCTTTATCCAATCGATCGCTCTTGGACCCGACACACAAACCGTAATCAGACTCACTGCTGTGTGGAGCCCCCACTCCAGGGAGAGATGGCCGATGAGATAGCGCAATGGTCCCCTAGGTAAACTACTAGCCCCCCTGTCGCACAGCAGATCCATCGGCCAACTCTTGTACTCGCGTCTTCCTGCCTATAATTGAATTTACAAGCCGATTCGTAGATCGTGAGAGACAGACTTTGAGTGTATTGCGTGCCATCAGATACTATTCCCACTGCTTGTCCCATTGAGCTGCTCCGTGCTCTTGTTTTGATCTTGGAAACATGCCCGAGTTTTATCCTGTTCAGAGTTCTTTCAAGGCTTTGAGAAACAAGGTCGTGGTTTTGACAGGTACGTAATCTAAATGACCGATAACCATTTTGCAATCATATTACTTGGATTCCGTTCTTTTTTTTTTTTTTTTTTTTTTGGCTTTGGAAATTCTAAATTCTAAAAAATTGGTTTTCTAGGCGGCGCCAATGGAATAGGCGAGTACGTTGTGGAGACACTATACCGCGCGGGCGCACACGTAGTATTTGGAGACATTGACGTGACTGCGTGCCAGTCTGTCGTCGACCGACTCTGCTCCAAAAACTCATCGTCCGCCACCTTGTCGTTTGTTTGTACCGATGTCCGCAAATATCAGGACAATATTGCGTTGTTTCGCTTTGCCTATGAAAAGCATGGCCGGATTGATCATGCCCTCTCCGTCGCTGGTGTGACGGAGAAGCCGGACCAGAATTGGTTCGACCCTAAGCTGGACTTGTCATCTATAACGACTGCTCCTTCGACAGATATGGTTGATGTCAATTTGACGGGTGTTTTATATTTCACGCGTGTCGCGGCGGTGTACTTGCGCCAAGGAAACGAAGACCGCACCGAAGATAAATCAATCTGCATTCTTGGTTCTGTAGCATCTTTCAAAGAGCAGGGTGGTCTTTTCGTCTATCAACCCACCAAGCATGGCGTATTAGGTCTTGTCCGTTCGACGAGAAAATTCTTCGACAAGGTCCATGGCATCAGGATCAATACCGTCTGCCCGTCCTTGACCAGAACGAGAATGTCGACGCCCGTGATCCGCATATGGGATGAACAGGGCGTGCGGCCGAATGACCCCCAGGCAGTGGCTGACTACGTTGTCACCTTGACGAGCATTGCCAACGATCCCTACGTGGGCAGTGTTACGGGACTGGCTGTGTTTGTGGAGGGGAACAAGGGCTGGGAGATTGAAAAGGACCTGGACAAATGTGATGTTGCTTGGCTCGGCCAAGAGATGAGCACAAATGCGGCAAAGATCGAGGCAGCTTTGGCGTCAGGGACGGCCTGGAGTAATCCTAAACTCTAGGAAATGCACCTTGTACTATAAGGATGGAGGACAAGACAGTATGAAGTTTATTTACCTGATATGATTTGAATTCAAGCAAAGTGAAAAGTACAATAAGTTCGGGGGTTGAAGAAAGCCCGGCGTATGAGCATATCGATCAATGTGTAGCAATGTGCTTGGACATGATATTTTCCGTTTATGTAGATCGTATAGGTACGTCCGGGCATTTCTCCATCTACTCCTTTGATCCTTTGACTGTGTGGACTTCATGACCTACCTACCTACTCACCCAGGGAAGCATGCAGCGATTTGTGAATGACTTGTATAAGGCCTGGAAAATCAGCTGACATTCGTTTCCTGAAATCTATCAAACAACCTTCAGCCACTTGCCACGCCACCAATTGGACCATGTTCTACTATTCACCATGACTAATTTCGAAACAACAGGAGCCATGTACCAAAGTCTCGGTTAGGCGAGAAGGTTACCTGGTTTTGAGATTGAAAGGCTTGAGCGCTGAAATTTAGCGATCATGTTTCTTGCTCTCACAGACAGACTACTCTTATTTAATAGACTGATGAAGGGGCCATCGGCATATGCGTCCGTGCAAGACATGGTTATGGTTATGGGTGCGAAGGGGGGGAAAGCTTGGCGGGTCATCCCTTGAAGCAACGGCGCTGTGGTTGCTCAATATAGACAAGAGTCCAAGCAGGTCCAATGCCGGCAGAGGCGACGATATTGCGGGTCTACCGACTATATACAGTAGTATCCATGATGGGTGAAGAGTGACATTGTTGCGGGTAATGGGCTTGTCTAGAATCTTAATTCGACTGAGACGTCGCAGCGAGATGAACCAAGCATTCAGCTATAAGCAATATCCATGAGTATAATACAGCCTCATGACTAGGAGGCTTATTATTCCAATTCCCAGGAATATCCAAGCTGAAGAAATGACCTCTTTGCACACAATGGTCAATGTCTGTCACGTCTGTTTCGTTTACGCGTTTACGAAGTAGTAGTTGCTCATTTCACAATGATCGGGTGTAGGTATTCGAGATCCTCACCTTAGCGCAAATCCAGGAAAGCTCCGAGCGCAGAGACCACGACCATTTGAGTACCGGCGCTTGTGGCGCGACGAACATTGACAGAAAGTCATATGTTTCCACCTAATCCAGTATATCAGATGCCATCGTCGGATGGTATATAACCGAACAAGCAACTCCTGCTTTTGCGAACAGATGCAGATCGACGCACGTGTGCCCGCACAGAGCAAGAGGTCAAGCTTATGATCGTCTTGTGCGTGAACTGCTGTTCCTCCTCGTGGGTCCAAGATGTCGGTAATGCATCAGATCGCTGTCAAAATGTCCCCCAGCGCAAAAAGCAGGGGGTACTGTTAAACCCCGTAATCGCCCACTCTCCTGCCCAAAGCCCCCCAACCTGTACTGGAGTGGCCTTGAGTGGACGTCACTCAGTGCATCGGCCTGAACTCTACACTTGCTCCGTACCTTCTCCAGGTGAGATCTGCCACCCTGCCTCCTTCCTATTGGCAGGTCAGTCTGCGACACCTCGCGTTTTGGTGCTTGTTGGCCCTGCATCAGCATCGGTGTCAAGCCTCGAGATGCCAACTCTAACCTAAATATTCTCTCGTCAATCCCGGCAATGCATGCATCTGATTATCTCCTTCTTTCCTCAATCGAAACTTTTCTTTTGCTGACATGAACAAACACACCGCCTTCTTCTAGAAGCTTATATATAAACATTCCCAATGTAACATATTATTTCCAAAACGAAACAACAGAGAGCTCACCTCGCCGCGATTCTCAATGTCCTCTGGGACGACTGAAGAAGAGCGACCAGTCGCACCGTCATCATAAACGTCCAAGCCAGTCTTTTGTGGCAGCACAGTGCATCTCATCCTGGCTGGAGAGCTTTGGCTGGCTGGAACTGGACCAAAGAGCTGGGGAATCCCCCGCGCGCCTTACAGTGGCCCCGTAAACGGTCAACCGCCAGAACAGTTCATTCAGTACCCCGTTTCGGCATAAGCGACCCGTTATTTTAAGGCCTGAAAGCCCGCGACTGCCGGTAGTCCTGATTAGTTGGCTACCATCTAATTTGCGATGCCAGCCTACCTCTGCCACGGTTTCCGCTGGCACCGAAAGAGCATCCGCTACTTTGTAGTGATCCAAGACGTCGACGATGCCGCGCCCGAGTGGATCGTCGCGCCCAAGAGCGCCGAGGCCATCCTGCAGTCGCTCTACGGCCTCTACGACTTCATCCCGCCATGTCCTGGGTCTCGCGCTGCCGACTCGCTGAGGACTTCCTCCGGTGGTCCCAACCCGGACATGTACAAATTCAGCCTCGACAACAGCAGCAGCGACGAGGACAAGCGCGGGCGTCGCGAGGAGGAGTTCCTGCAAAGGAAGAGAAGCCTGAGCGCCACGCGCCAGCGCAGCATGTCGACAAGCCGATTGCGAAAGTCTGGCAAGCGCCCCGAGACATTACCAGTGCCTCCACGACCCATGCTGGCGCCGCCGCCGCTATTTTCGCCGATTCCGCCCGAGGCCGAGAGGAATGGCCCTTTCAACAAGTGGTCCTCCATCAAGATGCTCGAGGAATACGATCCCTCCAACGAGCTCATCCTGAACGGGCCGTGGGCCTACCTATCCGACTATACTGTCCGAGTAGATACGTCTGTGTCTGTACTCGATGAGATCAGGAAATACGAGAGCAATATGAGAACGGAGAAATTCAAGGCCATGAGCGGACCAAGTGACGAGACTGGCCGAAAGATCAACACACTTGGCGATAGAAATGCAGGGTGGCTCGAGAAGCTCAGAGACCAACTACAGAGGGAAGAGCCGATCAAGTGGTATGTGGTCATGTGCGGCGACGAAGAGCGCAACTTTCCGATGGGCGACAAGGAGAACCGTCCTAATGGTATCACGAATGATGTCATTCCCGAGGATGAAGTGGAATTTCGTCTGCCCGAATTCGACAACTACAGGTACGATCGCAAGTCGGCTGTCGTCCAGCCACTTCGACTGCGGAGACTGCTTGATTCACCTCCACCGCCACCTACGCCTCAGATCTTTGAGCAGTTTCAGCGGACAGGACTCAATGGCAGTTTGTCCCAACCACGGGTTGTGCCACGCCCTCAGACTCAGCCTCAACCAGAGCTTCCACAGCTAAGGAAACCTTCTGCAGAAAAACCGCCAATAGTGCCACTCAGGCGAAGCCCGGAGAGGAATACCCTCGGATATACTCCACCGCCAGATCCTCTCGCAAATCTTCGAGATATTGGTTCACGGAAAACGGCGGCTCCGTTCGAGACGCGTCCTGGTTCTCGAAAAAGTACGATCAACTTGAAGAGGATATTCTCCAAAAAGCAAGTTGAGAATTTCATCTGAGAATGCCTCGTTGTTCTTTGGGTAGTCAAAGAGCCTTGAGGGTCAAGATGACCGTTCGTCGTCGTCATCCGTGCCCGTCGATTTCCAAGAGGTTGGATCTTCTAAGACAACCACACCTCTTATTGTATAAGCACTTCAAGGCAACAATGAAATGAAGAGGATGTTTACGAAACTCATGACATTGACGGCCGAACCAAACTGGAAGATTGGCATACACATTTACTTTTGGAGTTATCATGCAAGCTCATTCAAGGATTTTCACAGAGCTGGGAAACGCATCTTGCAACAGCAAGCAGAGATAGATCTCGACCTGCATCAACAGGTCATGAACTAATGCATAATACTGTATAGTACGGCCCGAACAGCATGCATTGGCCACGGCGTATTGAGCTTTGTATTTTATTTCAATAAAAGATTATCATGTCGAATCAACATGGCTGATATGTCGCTCTTTCAAGTGCTCCTCCAGTTTGATCTCCCCCAAAGTGAGCGCCACCATGTATCCCCACCTCGTATCGGTGCAACGCTCACCACCGGTCCAACCGGTGAACTCGGAGCTTACTGCATTCCCCAGCAAGGTAAGATTGGTGCCTACTGCCCCAGGCCTCGGCTGACGGAAGATACATCAATAGCTTCATTAACCGAGGCCGCCACGATCCAATTGTTGCGAGAATCAAGTTGTTTAAAAGAAGTCAAGTGTCAGTCAGCTGAGCACTCGGTAAGAAAGAATCGTTGCGGGGCTCTCAGCCTGTATGTAAGGTTTTTCGCAAACTTCACTGCATCGGGTTTAGAGTTGTTCTTTTGCAGGCGGATTCTCTCAACAATATCTGAAGATAGGTACTCTGTAAATGTCTACATCTCCATCCAAGAAATCAGCCCCCAAGTACATGGAACAAAGAGCATGATCGCGCATATGCTGGAGCTTGTGGCTTAGTTACAGGGATAAATAACATTTCTATGTATTTTATTCTTATGGCAGTCAATTAATGGTTTGATTAATATAACAAATAATAACAATGTTACAGACTACGTCAACTAATGACCCTCGGCATGATTGTTTTTTTAAGAAACACTCAACTAGCAATATTCACTCTTCAAGAGTGGGAAATTCTGGCGAATAATATGTACTGTTCGTTATCTGCTTTCAATTGACCGCTTGCATCTCGTACACAACTGTGAAAGCCTGGCTATATTCACAAGTTTTGTAGACTATTCCTAAGCAGCTTGCAACTAGGTCAACCCCATCATTATGGGCAAAGCAAGTGGCAATAAATAATTACACAAAGGGACACTATCCTTGAGAGAATGATACAGAAAGACTACAAGTCTTATAGCGTGTTTCCAGCTGATGAAGGGACAGTGCTCTGAATAGATGAAACCGATGCGGAAGCCGGGACAGTCTTGCCAGAGAACATGCTCAAGAAACCAGTGTCGCTGCTGCTAAAGGCGCCCGAGTTGGACAGAGTATTGGGAACACAGTTACGGCCAAGGTACGCTGCGCACTTGGATACATCGCCGGCGTTGGAAGTGAATAACTGGCCGGCAAAGGAAGAGTCCAAGACAGTGGGGATTTCGACAATGTAATTGCCCTCGTAGAGGCCGTAGCCGGTGGACGTGGTCCCCTCGAGCGCGTGGCCAGAGTTGGAGGACCACACGTTGTTGATGGCGTGGAACAGAGTGGTGCCGGATAGAGCTGGCGTGCGGCCCGAAGTGTAGTAGACGTAGTTTCCTGTTGCAGGGTAAACGTTGGCAAAGTATAGAAGAGCAAATATAGAGACACGGACACTTGCGGTAGAATGTTATCTCATCATTTTCCCCAACCAATTCCAGACCCCAGTACGTGTGGCCGTCACATGTAGCCGAGTTGGTTGTCTGGCCGTTGAGAAAACTGTTTGAGATGGTGGTCGAGGTGCTGGCGTCGTATCCAAAACTATAATGCTGACGGCCGGTAAGTGAAGTCTGAAAATCAATTTCAGCATATCTTTAATCATCTTTATTCTCGATTCGGTACAGGACTTACGGTGACGTGGTCGATCCAAATATTCGAGGTTCCCGCGAGAACGAAAGCATCACCTCCCCAGACGTATTGGGGGTTCAAGTTGGTAATGGCAATGTTCTGGATAATGATGTTGTCCACATTTACAAGTCGCAGACCTTTTCCATTGAGGGTTGCACCATTCTTGCCCACTAGAGTCTTGTTGGATTGTACGTTGATGCCCCTGAAACCAGCCGTGTCAATGGTTACAGTATACGTCGCAGTTGTACCACAGCCGCTGACGGTGTCGAGCAGAGCCTGTCCGCCGTTTGATGGGGTGCAAGAGTAGGCGTTGCAAGCAGTGTAGGATGAGGTGCCCTCGGATCCGACAAAGTCATACTCGCCAGATATGACAATGACCTGTGGATCACTCGATTCGAGATAATCCTTCAGCTCATCGATGGTGCTTGGATATACTGGATCAACATCACCACCACCCGTAGCGGCGGAGGCGAATCCCATTGGTGTACCACTAACAACTGAAGAAATGGCTCGCTTTATGGAGGACGCTCCTTCTACCGGAATGGCGGTAGCATGGCGCTGGAACGCTACGAGTGCCAAAATAGCAAGGGAGTGATAAGCCTTCATGTTGGATCAGTGGGAGAACTGAATGAATGAATGTGGAAGTGCGAAAAGGAGTGTATTGGTCATTGAATGGCAAGGCCATAGCCCAAATCCTTTCCTTCTCTCGCTATTTCTATTCATTCCTAACGCCTTTACAGAACTCGACTGGACGTCAAGCAAAAGGGGCGAGGCCTTGACTGTCGTTTGGTCGCGTTGCATGTTTCCATTACATTGCTGACATGGAAATAGCCATGCCCTTTTCCATCGGGACAACTCCCGGCGAGAGCTAGACTCATTCTTGGTAAACACTTCGCAAAGACGGTCCAGAAATAAAGAAACGTTTCCGGTCATACTACAAGAAATATTCGGATACCTGGTCGTTATTCAGGAACCGAAGTCTAGCGATTCGTAAAGATGCAGTGTCTCCTGAGGCAGTGCAACTCTAACAGCGGAATGAGAAAAAAGAAATATATACTCGGTGTGTTAATTAGCAACTTGAGTCTCCGTCATCTTGTGGAGAAGTTGTTCATGCCAGGGCCGTGGATTCGGGAAAATGACTAAATTGCCGTTTTTGTTCATACTTAGACGACTAAATTTCCAGTCTTGTCCTAGCTCTATAGGAAAGGAGACTTGGTCTCGCAAGATGGGGTGACGGACCCTGCGCTAATGGCCGTCTCAAGTAAACAGTCCGACACTATTTTCGCTATAGTTGTGTTTGTCTTTCTAACTCCCTCCTAAAGCTTGGGCAAGATGCCATCAGTGTGACAATATTTGATTGCCGTGTCAATCGAGTTGACGGTTGAGCTGGAACCGTTGAATCCGACAAGATACCAGGTTCTGTCAATTTTATGGGTAGTCGCATTAATCGTTGGACCGGTTGGATGTCTTGTACCTTTTTGTGTGAGCTGAACTATACTGTATTGTATCATGGTATAATGAGCTGCAGGAGGAAGAGAATAGCACATGTATGCATCCGAGCGCCGGCTTTGATTATCGCACCTCGAGATCAATGGTTTCGGTTCTTAAGACGAATCATGTCAAATATAATAATAGGGTCGATGGAAAACAAAATACTCAAAATATAGTGTTTGTACCGTACACAATGCATGATAGTCCTTATAAACAAGAATATTTACACAACTAAATCCAAGCCAATAACATCTAAAAGTATACACAAGAAATAAAAACCACAATTTGACCAATCCAAACAACCACATCTTTTTTTTTCTTCGAAATGATCCTCCCTTATTGGTACACAATGACGACAGAGTCGCTTGTGGTTGAAGAAGCTGTCAGAGCAGTTCCGTCCGAGTCCTGAATATCCAGCAACTGACTATCGGCAGGTGAGACGCTGCCGCCCTTGCTCGTGCCCGCGGCATCGCTAAAGGTAACGGTGCCAAAATCCGCGAGCCCATTCTCACTGCCGTCGACGACCAAGTCCTCCATGATCCACTCAATGGCGGCGCCGCACAGCGCGGCGCTCGAGTCCGTGACCGTCTTGGTGAAGGAGTTGCCGGTGGACTTGTTTTCCATGACGATGCTGCCCGAGGTGTAGTCGCCGGATGAGGTTAGGTTGACCGTGATGATGTCGCCGGCCGCAATATCTCCCAAGTCTATGGCCACTGTATCCTCTGGGTACCTGGTGAACACATTTAATGTAAGTCATTACTGAAAGAAATGGGACAGGAAGTCACAGAGTAAAATATGACCAGAATTTATACTTACCACTCATACCACGCGTAAAAAGAAGTGCCCTGAGAATCGATGGTAGCGTCTACGCCAGCCTGCCACAGGCCGCCATCGCAGTTCTGTACAAGTTTCCCACAATTAGACAAAGAGCACCAGATATGAGCTCCATATTTTGGACGGGGGAAAAAGGATCTCGGGGAGGAGAGGGGGGAAAAGCTTACATATCCGTCCATGCCAATCCAGACACTAGCAGTGTGCTCAGTAGCAGAGGTTTGTCCCGAGGAAGGAATCGCAGGATCCGGCACGGCAAACGAGGCCGAAACGCCCGTCATGTCGCTGCCGGTAACAACCGCGCCGGCCCAAGACTCATTGTACTCGACATCGGAACTGGCATGCACCACGGCCGTCGCGGAAGAGGACGACGCGGATGCCCGAGTGGCAGTGGCAGATGGCACCGACAACGCAGCAGCAGCCAATGAAGACGACGACAACGACGAGGGGACAACAGAAGAAGAAGAAGAAGACGGAAGGAAGCCAGAAGGAAAGACTAGAGTGGGGGAAGCGGCGGCGGACGAACGAGACAAGGATGCGCTCGACGAGGCATGGTGATGATGGCCCTGCTTGTGGCTTTTTGCGGCCCTGCGGGAATCGAGTCGAGCTCTGGTGTTTGATCTTGGTGCTAAGCCAGAGCCCGGAGCTGGAGCAGCCAGTGCCGCGGCAAACAGAGCGTTTAGAACCGTGATGGAAAGCTTCATGTCGAAGAAACGAAATCAAGCGTGATTTATAGAATGAGTGAATAGTACAACAAATGGGAAGCCGGCTTCAAATGAATGTGTAGTATATTTGAGAGAATAATAAGACAAATCCACAATCCTGCACGATACTCATTGAATCACTTTGATGGCTATCAGGTAGCAATGTACGCCTTTTATTATGAATTTCTTCCAAGTTATCATCGGATTAGTCGGCCTGGATCACAGCTTCAAGTTCGTATTCTTAATTATTTACAAACATGCTAATATTGTAGAAATCTTACAAATTTGTACGTGAAATTTCAAAGAAAACCACTTTGCTTATGATATACAGTCAGACCTCATCATCGCTGCTTATCGCAAGTCGAATATATAAAATGAAGGGCTTGGCGTGGGGTCGGGTAATAGTGGGCATCGCATGACTCCACACTGGCTAGAACTCAACAGTGTTCGAAATCGGCACTTGATGTTATTCTATGTCGCTCGTTTACAGGAGACAAGGGTATATAAGCGAAGGTATAGTGTTTCAAACTAGTCCCACATTGCAGCCGATTGAAAAGGCTAATCGTCAGTTCCTCTTGAACAGCCGCATTCCACCTGGTCCAGAACAGGGGCAACACAAATCTCAAATCGGTACTGCACAGGCAGATCCATTGGTGGGAAGTGACTCATGTCCTTGATGCAGCAACAGAAACCTGCTATTCGCCACACACTTGGTAGTGATGCGCCACAGGTAGTCCGTGTAGTGTGGCACCTTTCGGGTGACATAACGAGAAGGGGTATCTAAGTTTGTTTAACCACAAATATTTTTATAGCTTTAGACCTCTTTAATTTTATTCTTTATCTTGGATATTGGTAATATGAGTCGGGGAAGTCTCAATCTGGAGGAATTGGCCCAGGCTTGCGGTAAGGAAAAGGTTTCGTTCGTCATGGCATGCAGCAAGCACAGCTTTGCGCTTGTCTATTTGTCTTGTACTCTCTACATGACATGTCTTTGGCCCGAAAGGGAAGCAAAAAGAAAAAAGAAAAATATTAAAAAAAAAAAGAACCTACCGCCATTGACGTGTGTAACTTGCATCGATACAGAATCGTACACGTTGTCAAGAGGCGTCGCGTTGTGCAGGTAATTAATTTGATCGAGTGCCATGCAACCCGTCATATAGTATGTATTACACACATCTGAGACTTTTCCACCAGGAAGGGGAGAGGGGGTCCGCGAGAGAAATTTGACCCATATATGCACATCATCTATTCTATCTTTGGAGAAATGCAGGTACTTTGTGTACAACCCTCCAAAACGAGGCTAAGCGATTGGTCAGGAACAAGGTGGCATTGTTTGTGACTGGTATCTCTAGATGTGAAAAATGGCAATAGTGGGAGAATCATCTTGATTATGAAACTCACGATCTCTGCTAGCTATGGCAATCTGATATTGGGTCTCCCCTCCCTTCCCTGTCCCAAAACGAAGCCTTGGAAAATGCAACAAGAATGAAGTGTATGCAAAAGAAGAGGTATATATGTACAAAATCATGCGCGTCGTCAGACTACATATCATAAGACCGGCTCACTAATCCCCCACCAATGGACGCTTCTCTTGTGTGTGCGCAGGGGAAATGAGAAGAAAAAAAGTCTTTGTCGTCATCATTGTCGTGAATCGACATCTTGAGAATGGAGGAAGAAAAAAGTGCTTTGAAATGAAAAATAACTCGGCCAGCATCGTTGCTATTCCTGATAGCATGGGTGCCTGGCTGTAAATTCCGGATCTCTTTTCCAACCGCGACATAGAAAAGCCCACATGTGTACTTCTTAGATGGAAGAGTAAGAAAGAAACCCAAACCAAGAAACCTCGAGTGCAGAAAGCTGTGCAAAATGCGTCTCTGGATGAGAGAGATAGCATAACCAGATAATTGTATAATAGAGAAGACGGATTGTTGAATCTGGGCAAGTGTGCAGTCACGGATCTTTTTCCAGACCCATGTCTGTTCTTGCTGGGTTCGGGTAAATGGCAGGTATGTATATCGTAGATAGGTTGGGGGTAGCGGGGCACTGAAGTATGTATATGAGGATACAACCAAAGGACCTGTGTAGAGAGAGAGGAAAAGAGAGAAAGAGAGACACTCCAAGTAGGTAATCTAAGTCCCTGGGTACCTAGGTATGTGCCACCTCTGCGACCCGAACAAGCCAATTTCCGACCGGGCGCATCGTGAGGGAAATTGAGTTGTCAGATTGAAATGCCGTACATGTCCCCTTTGGCTCACTGGCTGGGCTCTGATTGGCGGACGAGGTTCTCGCGGCAATGCGGTCCGAAACTCCTCCAAGACCCCTCCAGCGAATCCCACCAACCACTGGCCCGCAATCAGCAGTCAGGTGCTGGGTGCCCATAGAAAGCGTTGTAACCTCCGGGGAAAGCAATGTAGAAGGTCGCCTGTCAGCCGCTGGTCCTCAGAGGGTCGTCGTCAGCCCATTACGCTTTGTTTGAAAGGTTCAATACCTCTCTCAGACTTGAAATGAAATGATGCAGTCAGGTCGGCCGCGAGAGTGGTGCAAGTAAAACTTGGCGCGAGGCTGAATTGGAGGGCATGGTCAAGGTCCTTGAAATGGGGTGGCGCATCAAGAGGGAGGCCGGATCGGTATAGTCGGCAGCGCACATTTTCGGATCCCGATGCGTATCATGTCTTGTATGGTGGTAGGCGTATTGAAGATGGGAGCATGTGTCCTTTTTTTTTTTTTTTTTGTGGCTGGCCGGACATGCTTACTTGATATACGGAATAGTCAAATACGGTAGTTGTGCCGATAGTGTTGCACAAAACTGTCGCTTATAGACCACGACACGCATGACTGATGCTGAACTCGCCCATTGCGGTTTTCGTTGTCGTGCGAGAGAACCAAAATAGAGTCGCTGTTGCTACTTCGTATCCAGCCGAGCCACATGTACAGTTGCAGTCCCGTTCTCTCGGCACTAGATCCGTCAGCCGTTGAGGAATGTTCGCCGTCGGACCTCGGCCTCCTTGATGATCTCGGCAGCAAGACTCAAGCTCGGTGCAAGCACGGACATTCGCTCAATATCCATAATCACGTCGTTGATGATCTGGTCAATGACCTCACGATGCGGCACCAGCGTTAAGAGGATACTTGATAGCGAAGGCGACATGGTGGCACCCATTACAAGGAGGGTTTGTGAGACGATGGACAGAGCCCCTTGCCACAAGTAAGGCATATGTCCGGCAACACTACAGAGCCAAATGGTTAGATTTTGGTGTGTGGGGTAAAGGTTGGGGTGGCCGTCCATACGGGCAGAAGCCGAGCCAACTTGCGATTGGCTATAGGTTCATGGGTAGGTAGTGTAATATGACTTACTGTGCTCCAATATGCTCCAATTGCCGAATTGAGGCTTCTAGACACTTGTGGCAGTTGTCCCGAACCGCGGGGTCCAAAACGGCCTGCTCATTGTCCAACACCGCCAAGATGTAGGGCCTGTAGATGATGGTACGGCAGGCAAAAAATCGGAGACGCAGGACAGTTTGCACCGGATCTGCCAGCGGCGCTCGCGTAAAGGGAAATTGCAGGGCCGAGGGCAGGCTTTCGTACCATTGAGTCAGCTGAAAGTCCAGCTCGGCCACTACCGGCTCCAGGCTTGTTGTCGATGCCATCGAGTCCTTGGAGTAAATGAGTTGACTGACGCGGTTCAGGAGTCGTCGCAATGCAATTTCGGCCAAAAAGTACCAGAGATCATCCCGGCCTACCGCTTCCGACTCTTCGCCTTGAAACCCACCGGGCAGCCCGACGTGCTCTTCTAGTTGTACGACTCCCGAGTGTGGAAGGTCGAGTTCTGCTAGCAAATCGCTTTCAAATAGCAACGCGTTCCAGTAGATTCGCTCCGAAAGCTCTCTCTGGTCCTCGGGTATCCTTGTGGGCGTCATGAGAAGAAGTTGTAGTTTGCTGCTTGTCGTGCATAGTAGATTCCACGCCTCGAGGGGTCTCACCAGATAGAAAAGGTAAGCAGCCGCAAGCAGATGGCACTGGGCTGCCAAGACACTGTTTGAAGTCATCATCCCCGGTAGCAAAGACCAAGCAGCTGTGAAATACTGAAGGCCAGGTGGATCTTCCTGGGGAACGATGCGAGATATGCTGCCCCTCAGACTAGCCTGTCCGAGGGCAAGTACCAAGAGAACAATGCAGCTCTCGGGTCCTTCTCTGAATCCATTGGATAGAGCACTTCTGTAATGACTTCTCCATGTGTAAGGGTTTACACAAGCGTACCACACGTTGACGCGGTCAAAGTAAGCCTCGATATACGCATGAGTATTGGAGAGGTCGACACAGGGCGTCTTGGCCAGAGAAGGGAGTGGTTCTCTTGCCATTTCTAGTTGAAGCAGAATCTGAGGATCATAGGGACGTTGTATAAGATCCCGTATGAGCGGCCATTGAAGGAGGTGGAGCGCTGCGTTCGTGTGCACCTTTGGCATGGTAGATATGCTGCTCGGTGGTTGAGCCGTCCAGGTACCAAGACCACCGCTAGGGATGATGGAGACAAAGTTTCCATTGGCATTAGCAAGAAGGTTGTCAGCGCTCAGAGCAGTGCCGTTGCTGATGGGCGGTGAGTTCTCGGAAATATGCATGCCGTTGGGGTTGTTGACGAGGCTCATTTGGAGCAGACTTTCGATGCGATTCAGCCGTTCCAGTATGAGTTTGTCACCAGCGTCCAGTTTGATGCCAGGCTCTCTATATATACACTCAGCGCCGAGCTCTGTGCAGAGTTTGCACTTTGGCTTTGTGCCATCGCATCGTGATTTGCGAGACCGACAGACCTCACACTACACAGACAGTCAGTGACGAGATTCATGGAAGGTTTCTGCATTCCAGAAGAGTAGCAACATACAGCTATTGTTGCTCTCCTACGAGGATAGTCTACTGTGGCGTCCGTGTTTCGTCGCTTTAGAGGGTTCATGTTCTCGTCGCTGGAAACCTTTTGAAGTTCAACGATCACTTGTTCCGGCCGTGCCTCAGAGGACTGAGACAAGTTCCGAGCTTTTTGCGCAGAACCCAAAATGCCATCTCTGCTAAAATTCGTCGTCCGTGCTGCCTTTGCTGAACTGGGTGATTTCAGGCTCGAGCCGTTGGTGTTGGCTATCGCTGACTGTGAGGGAATCTCAACGGTGAAGTTGTCCCGATTAGGTAACGGGAATATGCGACCCGAGCTGCTCGTCCCTCCCATGGACAAGGGCGAGTCGCCTGTCGACGATGGCGACATCCTGTTGTTCTGCAGGCTGAGCGCGGTCGACGAGGTGGCTGATGCCATGACCGAAGTCATGTGTGCTGTGGTTCCAAGAGTGCCCGTCTCCCACCGGATGACAGTAGCATCAGTTTCTTATACTGATGAAGAAGGAAAACAAAGAATCAAAAAAGTCAATCACCCATGACGCCACATGTAATCCGTATGGAGGAGAAGAAGCTCTGCACTGGGCGCAAGAGATGACGAGGAAAGGGCCATACAGGGAAGAAGGTGCCTGCAAGGCACGGCAGAAGACCGACTTGTTATTTAAAGGCAATTATGGGAAAGCCGGAGGATCTGGCTGTCCCATCGTCTCCTCCACGTCGCACCCATGCAGGGTGCAGAAGCGATGCATTGTACCCCAGTCTCCCCCATTAAACACCCCCGGCTTCCGCCAGTAGTAGTCCTAAGTAAAGAGTGTACCAACTATTCTACTTTCCTTAGGCTATACATTGGTAGCCCGGGAACGGGATTGGCGAGAGAGGGAGGAATCAGGCGAGATGACAAGACAGGTGAACCCTGAGGTCTTGAATATTCAGCGGTTCCCAGAAGTGAAAACAAACTATCCTGTATCGCTTCTCTTTCCTAGTGTGAACATTTCAATACAAGAGTACTCCAAGAGGCCTTGTGCAGAAGCTAGAAACTATTGTCACTGTACAAGGACACATCACGTTCGAGGGTTCAGCATTAAGGGTCGATCTTCTTAAAGGGTTCGAGTTCAATTTGCGGGGAAGCAGAAGCGAACGTGGTCAATCACTTGCCACGGATGGTCGAGGCTGCGTCCTCAGCCGATGGATGTGATCAGCGGCTGGAGTGGTTAGGTGTATGGGAAGCTGATATTGCCTGAAGGACTAGCGGGGCAGGGTCTTCCAACCAGGGGGGATGCCATGTGGTCTTTCATTGTGGTGCGAGCTATATTATATGGCGACGGTGGCTTTTTCAGAGAGAAGGATAAGAGAGAAAGGGAGGCTCATGGCTGTGATAATTCATGGCATCAGGTGAGTGAGTCAAAATTATACGGCAAAGCCCTGAATCGCCGAGAAGCCTACTTGGGTTGTTAATCCGACGGGTTCGTCCAACATGAGCGGCATGAATACAAGACTATAGCGTGTGTCGTGGTTAATGAGACCGTCATTTCGGCGGGACCAAGGCGGTTTCCCGCTTACCTTGGATTCGAAAAGGCTTGACCAGGGCCTGCAAAGAACTTCCATTGAAATTTGAGTAAATCTCTTGTTGGGCGCTGCTGCTGCAAAGTCGCACGCGATATCTTGTCTGCGTTAACCCGTCAGAAGGGCTGTAGGCGTTGGCGCTTCGCTACCACGCTCGCCACGCCTTCTCAGGCAACGAAATATCGCTTGTGGGAATGAAAGAAGGCGGGGGACTAGGTACCTAGCCTATGTCCCTAATGGATGCTGTCGACCCATTGACTGCAGGTCGATGTTCAGGTGATCTTAGACGACAGCACGCATGTGCATCCGAACTCCGAGGCACGCCAAGCCTGTCCAGGAAGCCCTTATTGCTCATCCAGCGCTTCTATGTAGTATGTACATTGCGCCTCGACTTTTCTTATAGTCTGGCTAATGTAGATGGACTGGGCTTGACTGGCTGGACTGGCGCAGGCGGGATATCCGCTTACAATGCGAGGATCTACCTCGAGTCGCCCAAGGAAGACAGGGTCTTGTTCATCTTACGTACCTAGGTTACCTACCTAGTATGTACGAGTTACCTATTGGCACCCTGTAGTGCCCAAGAACAAAGAAAAGTCACAGCCGTTATGACAGTTTTTTTGCAGCGCCATACATTAGTATCTCCGTTACCTACCGCCCACTACGTTTCTGTGCTACTAGCACTATTTCAAGGCCACTGGGGGTATATAACACAACAACCCCGCATTGAGCCTGGAAGAATTATAACAGCACACGCGCCTCTCAACTTTTGTTCTTTGACCATCTTCCTGGCAATGCATTTCGATTCTTCCACCCAGGGACCATTTCCAAGTACTAATCTGTCGGGAGAATCAAGATTCAAGTCTCTTACTCCACAAAGCAAGTCCCTGAAAAGAGAATTTCCAGAGTGGGTCTGGGGGCAGTTTTCCCGTCGACTCCTCCCACAATCCGAATATATCTGGGGGAAAACTGTGCCGGGGGGTTTGGACTTTGCCGACTGACCCCTCTGGAGGGAAGAACAAAAAAAAGGTCCAAGGGCCCCACTAGGTACTGGGCAAATGTGTGATCGACTGCAATTAGTTTGCAGATAATCACCCAGATTCTATAATGGTTCAGAGTCCCAATTGGACATGTCGTGTTCTGTCATGTAAGGCCATTGCAGCCTGCCTTGTATATCATGGCTGCCGTAGTTACAGCACTAAGACGCGTGGTTCAAGGGGGGCGTCTCTTGCAGAGCAGCAGCAGAGCAGTAGTAAAGAGGCGGTAGTACAGTACTTCTCGATCATCATTCCATTTTTTACATTACAATCGAGTTCGCCAAGACACGGCACGTTTGTCAGGGGTGTGTAGTATGCGGCAGGGGTTTCAAAACTGGATGTGGCTCTGCGCTCACCACACCTTGGAGAGGGATTGGAGAGGATTGGGAGCAAATTCCAGAAAATGGAGGTTGGAGTGCCATCGTTCCAAGCCAAGTGATCTGATCTACCAGCCTATCATGAGCATCCGTTGGTCCTGGGCGGTGGCCGTACATTGGGAGTGAGATGGCCATCCATTGACGGCCCGAATGGGCACAATATTTTCTAATGAACTGGTCAATCAGTTACCCATCTGTGTACAGACAACCCAGACGTAGTGTTCCTTGGCTATAAGCGCGAACCATACTCGGTGCCTGTTATTGTAGAGCGCATGAACAAGTTCTCCTCTGCCTGCTTCATGGATATTGCTTTAGTAACAAATCTATGGTTAATACAATCGAGCACTGCGTCGGCTTCTCATGGCGGCCGGATCCTTGAAGGAGATTATACGTTTCGGATGGCCAGTGGTAAACATTTCTAGCCAGCTGGCCCCAATGAAGAGCCAATACACTGAGTGTTTCGTTTCCATCTCGGTCCTGTCTGCGACAAAGCCTACCTACGTACATACCCATTGTGTCCAAAACTCATCACCATTGTCCTCGCTGGAACACGGCAGGGTTCCTGATAGATGGTAACTCTAATCATCAGTGCAATCCTTGAATAGGATCCAGTAATCTACCGAAACACCGGAAAGCGGGATCATATCCCTTGCTCATGAAGGAAATGAACGGCATGAACGCTTCGTTATGAGGCGAAGAATCTCTGTTTACAGTAAGCCGAGCAAAAATTTGACTTGGTTCTCATCTAACCAAACAATCATGCTACACAAGCATTCATCGTTCGACCCTCCCGTGAGTGCCGGCTGGGGCCCCCTCCCATCTATCTCGCATCTTGGGGGTGACGTACGCCCTCTCTTTTTGGTCCAGAATTCAGGGGTGGATTTTGTACAAGAATGCAGGACATGAACTTATTGCAGGTTTCTTTGCCAATATCGGCGGCGAAGCTCCGGGCAAAGCTTGTCCAGGTCCGCGCGAAAAGCGCACAATCTCTTCTCTTAGTGATGTCACCTCAGTCCCAGGAAAGCAAAAGTTTGACACCTACTTTCCTTGCAAGCATACTTGAGGGCAAGTCGTTCACTGCGCCCTATCTGGGGCCCCCTCAGTGCCGGCTTGTCGTTCCGGATACCAAGCATTTTGATTATAGATCGTTCGTTGCGAGATCCTGGTTTGTGAATGGGGAAGGCTTGGTCATGGACGGTCCGGAGCGAGATGGATTCGATTGGGTTGTGTAATATGGAAACTCTCCCTTTTTGACGCTGTCATGATTCCTGTTTTCTTCTCGTCTTCGAGTATAGTCGCACTAAGAAAGAAGGAAAGAAGCAAAAAAGGAATGATAAAATAGATTGCTGCAATTAATATCGTGCCTGCTTCGAATCATTGCCGCTAAAGACAAACCATTGTTGCTATTCTTGTCATATCAGCCAACCACCATCTCCCCAGGCGACAGAGACCCTTGGGCCAAACCTGCTGGCAGCCAAAACGCAAAAGGTAATACCGACACTCCGCCGGGGGGCGAGTCAAAAGCCACCGCGGACCATTTAATATAAGCCATCATCGCCAAGTGGCCAAACCCCGCAAAACGTCTTGTTATAATGTCGATGCTATGCTTGAATGTAACTCCAGCGTCATCAGCTGGACCAGAGCCTCAACAATGACAAATACTGACGAGTTGCCAGGTTTTCTTTCCTTCTTTTTCTTTTTTCTTTTTCTTTAACCTCTTACATATTGACGTCTCCCAAACGTAATTGTGTTTGCCCATTATGAGTAAATTAGATACGATTGGCATTGTATCGATCAAATGGTGCCTGAGTGACATTCACAATTGCAAAAGTCTACCGTCGGAAATCTGTAATTCAACATATCTATGTACGTTGGTCTGGGTTGAGATCATTCTCGTATACTGCTGCCATCATGAGACGGCCCTTTATTTTTTTCTATATACATGAACATTTACTCATCAAAAATGACCGTGGTAACTTCTCCTTCGACCAAAGCATTGGCGATGAAGCGCTTCAGTAATCCACTCTTGACGTCGCGGTCAATGAGAACCACACGACCGTCAGATTGAAGTCCGACAGCGATCAGGTTGCCAGCCTCGTTGATGGAAAACTGGCGCGGGATACGTCCGCCAGCTGGGTATTCCTGGACCAGTGTCAAGTTTCCCGAGCTGTGGTCAACCGAAAAGGAGATGAGGGCATCAGACACAATTTCGGTGCTGTTGCTGGGGTCAAAGTTGGGAATTGAAAAGGAGTTCTCCCCGCGGGATGATACAATGAGGAACTTCTCATCAGGCTTGCAAATTTATCAGTAATGGAACAAGTAATTTTTGAATGATGAACTCACCGATAGAGTGATCTCTGCAGCCGTGGTTCCGTTGGGTACTGAAGCTCCCTCACCGTGAGTGTTGATGGCAAACAACTCGGTAAAGGCCAATGAAGAGTCACTCTCGTACTCGACTTCGTAACCCGTTATGGTGTTGGCCAGCTCGCTTATGAGATACATGTAAGTAGTGTCCTCAGTGACCAAGAATGTAGCGTGTCTGGGACCGGACCCGGGTGCGGCCACAAGGGGTTCAATGGCAGTCCAGGTGAGGCTATCCTCGTCGACCTGGAAAATCCTGACAAGGTCCGCGCCAAGGTCTGGGACGAGGATGTACTCTCCCGTGGGGTCGAGTATAGCCTCGTGCGGGTGAGGAGCATCCTGTCGAGAGGCGTTTGGACCAGGCTCTGCCATCTCAAAGGTCTGGTTCTGGACCGCCTGCAACGCAGAGGGATCCGCTATAGAGAACGTGCTGAAGCTAGAACCGGAACTGTATACGCAGTCAGATATTGACATTCGTCCAAAAGTGGATTTTGTCTAGGCGCCAGACGCCATTTTGGGATATGCGTCCTCCTGCAGACTGGGGTAGGGACGGAATGTTGAAAACAACTTACTAGTGGGCGAGAGCTAAGCCATCTCCATCTTCTCCATAGATGACTGCGCTGACTGGGCCAGAGATGACACTGATCTGATCGAGCTGAACCAAAGTGCCGTCCTCGCTGGTCTGGAAAGACGAAAGGGACCCCAAAGGAGTGGACAGCCCCTCATCAGTGCAGTAGAGGATCGAGTTGGAGGTGTCCAGGGTCAGCCAAGAGGGACTGGATGCACAGCCGGTTGATGTCGAGATAGCCTCAAGAGAGGCAGACGAGTTGTAGCCGCTAGACAAGGTCAGGTTTAGCGTCGTGACGGTGCCGGCATACGATGCCACGTATAGGAGCGTAGCCACAGTCGGCGTCACAAGTGGCAGGGACACAAGTCCAGCCGCGCCCAAGTTTTTAGCCAACATGATTTTATGGTGGTGGGAGGAGATCCAGGTCCAGGCAAAGGAGAAGAGGTGGCTGCTAGAGATGAGGAGCAGAAACAACACCAGCACCGTGACGCCGGTACTCAGCATCAAGATAATAAATCTTTTTCCCGCAGCGGTGCCTTGACTCCATCCTGGACGATGCCCAGCCGCCACTATTACTCGTTCCCACTTTGACATTCCGACTTCGCGGTGAGATAGACAGACTAGACAGTAGTTTTCGCGGCGTAATAAAGTCAATGTCCCGCTGAAGATCAATTCGATTCCCTGATTAGGAAATCAGCTACCACGCGATGGGACTTTAGCCGGAACCAGAGTAGACCCCTGGTTCTGCAGTACTCGTTACCGTGGTGTAGGTAGGTACTGTATGTACCTACACAACACACACACACACACATTTACACCACTGAAGGCAAAAGGAATGCGGAGGCGTCCTGCCAGGCACTCGCTTTATCTGGCTTGGGCCCCCAGTGAGTCGTCTGTCGTCCCTCGCATGAGTGCTGTCGGCTCTTGGGCGTGGTGGAGGGGTGTAACGCGGTACGACGAGAGATTGTCCAGGACTACCTGGAGGGGTTGATTCTTATTCCCGCGGACTGATTCTCATAATGACCAAGCAGGTACTGGAGCATTGAATATATGTACTGTACTCCGCATTCGGTCAGATATGGAGAAGAGATAAAAAAGAACATGGGACGGACGGACAGTCGAAATGTATGGAGAGAAAGAGGGGGACGAGGGGGAGTGTGGGGAAATTGGTGGTGGAGAGTCCGGAGTAGCGAGACTCCACAGCCAGGGTCAGGATTGGGGTTTCTCTTTTCAAATGCTCAAAGTCGCTTTGATTTTCCAAGGTGAAATGTCGCCTTGGCGGAAAATCTGGTTCGCGGCAATCCCCCAGCAGCTAGTGGGTTGCACATCAGGTAGTAATTGTCTCCCTTATTAATCTATTTCAACCCAATCGCGTCAAGAACTTGAGGGCCCATCTCGTCAAGCTCTCACGCACCTCCTCCAGGGGGTGGTGGCCGCAGCCCCAAGTCCAGTGCCAAGTGCTAGTAGCAACGTTGATGAGCCTGCACGAGACTTTGACGATCAGCCCATAAAAAGTCGACATCTTCCCCGTCATCTGCAGGACAAACTAGATCACGGGTCTCCCTTCTCCAGTGACGTGCAGGATATACTGGCCACGCCGAGCTCACGCGAAACGGTTTGAAGGGGGTGTTTAAATGGGCGTCCGGCAAGTCCTCCGGTGGACTATATGCACGCATATACTGGTGTAACCAAAGAGAAGAAAAAGAAAAGTGGACTCAACATCTACCATAGGCCGTACCCGTTATATAGCCTCAGTGGTTATGCTATAGCTCAACGGCACGGGCTAGAGATTGCACTGTACCCAACTCAGCTGGTTCGTGTTCCAGATCAGGCTGCCCGCGTTGGCTTCTTCGAGTATGTACCTTGACCTTTTGTCAACCAGCGTCTTTTTACGCTGTCGTCGTCATCTGCATTTCGCTTCCAACGAAAAATGTGGTCAGACTGTGCTTTGACGCTGTATATCTACTTTCCCATGGTTATGTCCCTAGTAGAATGCATCGTGAGAGCTAACCGTGAGATAGTTCATTTTCCTGTCCTGGAAAAGCGAACTCCCTGATCTAGACATGAAGAAGTTACAATGAGTCGTCCATGACTCTCATTTGGTGTGCCTTATTACGAGATAGAGCCGAATACGTGCCGCTGCCAAAGCCACGAACGACGTTACTGCGGTAGTGCTCCGGCTTTATTTATCACGACCCACTAGAGTCCACGCAAAGCCTAGACTTGTATGAGAAGCTCATGTTGATGCTTGCCTGTGAGTTTCCTGAACAGCTCACTTGATGACGAAGACTCCATCATAGACTACTCATGATGAAGATTGTTGATATCCACACACGTGCCTAGAGCATTGCCGGTATCGCAGATATCGATTCCATATGCTATACGATACCATTGTAGCACTAGAAATATATTGTTGATATATCAGGCCCGAATGCAAGCGCTATGTAGGGGAAGCTGGATAGATATACTCGCCATGGTGGACTCTATAACACTACACCCGGCATGATAATACTTCGATGAGAACATTCTAAGCCGCTACCTTTTGAATCATGCGTGTAACAGCTCCATGTTCGAGGTTAGCGCTAGGTCCGATGGACCTGAGGTGGAAGCCGATTATTTTTTCTTTTCTTTTTTCACAGGAATGGTGTATTTAGCCGGTTGTCATACTGCTGGCAAGGTTAGGTAGACAAGACACTCACAAAGATGTATCTTTGTTTCATTACGAACGTCATATGCCCTATTTGGTGACTGACTGTTATTCAATTGATTAAACATGGCGAAAAAGGTGGTGTTTGTATCCAAGAGCACATCCGGTACAGACCTTCTTACAACGGGACCGACAACAAATTCTAGGTTGTGGCAACAATATATTGGAGGTCCGTTGCGGTGTTCAGAGTTTGTAGCATAATCATAAGTACTACATGCTCCTCCTTCTCCCGAACCAAGAATTGAGTAAAACATCATTAATAGGTTCGATGTACATGTTCTTTCACATCAGACAAGTTTGACGGGCGGAGATGGATCGCTCGGCGATTACTCAAAGCCAGAGATGAAACCCATCTAAAAAATCGAAATCATATATTGGCGGAGGGCGCTGGGGCCTGCTGGTGCCCATGGTCAACAAAGGATCGTAAAAGAGTCCAGAAACGGCTATAGCCGGGTGCCTACGGCTTTATTACCGTAGGTGGCTATATAAACGGGAAATTAGCAGTTTTTAGGCTTATAAATAGTTATTATATCGCATTTTTTTAATTAATTCCCTTTTTGCTATTGTTTTATATAATTTTATAATTTCGTAAACTTTATAAATTATTTATATAATAGTATTACTCCGACGTTAAAGAGTTTTCCATACCTTTAGCACCTAATAAGTGTTAAAGCAAATAGCATAATAGCAGATTTTGCAATAAACTAAAATCCGGTATAAAAATAAAACCTAATTAATAATAATACTCCCGCAAAGCCTATTACCGCTAAACCTAATAATAAAGCTAATATTAAATAGCCCGATAAAAATATGTTCTAAGGTATGATTAGTGGATCATATAACTTAGGCACAGGGAAGCGTTCTTTATAATTCGTAAAATCAGGCCGTAGGAGTAGTTATAAGGCTGTATAACTGATTTATTAAAGCTTAAAGAAAGAATAACTAACTACGGAGGAATAACTACCTTTTATACCCATAAAATCAACCAATAAGAACATTCTGGAATATATTACTAATAAACTGGATTTATAATCAAGTTAATTAGTGTTGCACGGATGTTAATACAGCATCGTATAGTGCATAAAATTAGCTTTATAACGCATATCATATCGTTATAACAGCTATAAAACCCATCGAGATATCGTTAAATAACGATATATGGGAAATCAGTGGAACTTACCCTGTACTGACCTACAGTTAGTACAGCACCACTTACAGCCACTGTTCACAGTGCTGTACAGTTAACAAGTCATTATAGTTGACTGTTGTGGCCACTATGGCCACTGGAACCCACTGGAATCCAGTGGAACGTTCCACTAGATCCAGCCCCACTAAGTGTGGCCAATGCACCTGGCCACAGTGGCCTTAGGTTATAGGGTAACCTATACTATAGAAATCTATAGATTTCGATGGTTTCTTCGATTATAAATTAACCTTATTACTAATTAACTTAATTATAAATCTAATTTATTAGTAATATATTCCAGAATATTCTTATTAGTTGATTTTATAGGTATAAAAGGTAGTTATTCCTCCGTAGTTAGTTATTCTTTTTTTAAGCTTTAATAAATCAGTTATATAGCCTTATAACTATTTTTACGGCCTGATTTTACGAATTATATAAACGCTTCCCTGTGCCTAAATTTATGATCTACCAATCATACTTTAGAACAAATTATAATATTTATCGGTAGCTATAAAAAATGCTTATATATAAATAAAAAGCATTAACGCTATTTTTTTATATATAAAAATAATTATAATAAAGCTTAATTCGAATTTTATCGATAAGCATAAAAGCAAAATCGGGAATAAAAAAAAGCGCCGTAATAATAATAATAACGGCAATAGCAATAAAAATGCTAATTCCTATAATACCAATAATAATAACAATAATAACGGCAAAAATAACGGCAAAAGTAATAAAAAAAAGCGTAAGCCCAAATTTAACAAAAAAAAAAGCCCTTCTTACTACAATTATAACGAATATAAGCATATCGCCAAAAATTATCCTAAGCTAAAAAAAAACGAAAAAATAATAACGCGAATAATATAACGTTAAAAAGATTACAAAATAATAATAAACCAGTCCTAAAATTAAAAGACTACGATAAAAAATCCGGCTATAATATAGCCGCTATTATAAAACGAAATAATATATAAATTTAAATATAAATATAATAAAAATATAACTAATTTTTAATTAATAAAAATTTGCAATTAAAAAATAATAATTCCCCTTAATTATTTAATAATAACGGTAAAAATATTATAATATTACTTATTACCTTTAATAATAATATAAGCGTAATTTATAACTTTTTGCTTAGTTTTTTAATTTCCTTTTTCGATTTTAGCATTTACGTAAATTTAATATATTATATAAAAGGTATTAAACGCCTATTATTATTTAATACTAAATTAAATATTAATATTACCCTTAACGCGAATAACTTTAAAAAAGGTATCGTAATAAACCTTACGCGGAAAAAATTTAAAATTAATATAAATAAAAAACTAATTTATACCTAATAAATCGGACTTAATAAAAAATTCCTAATAAAGGCAAAAAAAAAAATCGTAAATATATTAAAAACCTTTTATATTAAAAACTTCCCCGTAAAAATTATATTAGGCGAACGCTAATATTTAATAAAAAGTTTTATTTACAAAAATAGCTTAATAAATA